TTCCAGCGTGTTTGCAGATTCATTATTTAAGTTATCGCGCATTGCACTTGAATAGTTTGATTATCTATAAATTTTTCGTCAATTGGTAGGTTAATTACGACACGTACGTTAATTTCTTGCCGCGGTAAAGATTCACGTTAGTATCTTTGTATGTACCACGTAAACTTTCATTGTTCAAAATGTAATATAGCACCAATTCATAGTTTCATAGTATCCACTGTTCGAATATTTTCGTTACGTCATTGGTAACGAAGCGTACGTAATGAGGTCACGGTCAACACTGTCAGCTGTCGGCCGGGCGAGAGGGCATAGGTACTTAACTGTGTAACGGCAAGTAAAAGGGCGCGGGAAGAAGCCTACGGTACTTTACGGAGCGACCCCTACGAATATGTGCGTGCCTATAATAGTACGCGTCAAATATTAATGAATGACAATCAGTTAAAATAATGACAGAAAGTTTGAGATTTTTTAAATTAATTTTTCTCCACCATTTGCTTATATAACTTATTCTGAACCTTCTCTGCAAATTTGCTTGGTTATTGCAAAATAACCCTGTATATATTAAAACAGTAATTATAAAACCTGCGTAATTTTTTTTTACTGAAAACAGAAAATGTTCATACCCTATGTCACTTCCACAACTAAGACGAATAGAATAGAATAGAATAGAATAGAATGATTTTTATTCAATATGGATTATTACATAATACTTATTGAAAGTCATTATTTTATTTACCACTGGTTCGGAAAATACCTCTGTCCTGGGAAGAACCAGCAAGAAACCCAGCGGGACTTTTTTTTTTAAACATAAATTCACTTAACAATAATTTTGATTATACAATTTTAAATGAATTTTCATAGAACCAGCATGGTGGCGATCACCTTATTCCCAGGGGTTATTTTCACTCATGTATTCCTTGATATTATAATAACCCTTTTTGTACAGTTTTTCTTTAATAAAACTTTTAAACTTGTTTATTGACAAACTTTGAACATGTTCTGGGATTCTGTTGTAAAAGCGTATACATTGCCCCATAAATGAATTACTAATTCTGTGGAGTCTTGTAAGTGGCATTACAAGCTTATGTTTGTTCCTAGTGTTTAAGGTATGAACATCCTTATTCTTATTAAAGCTATTTATGTTTTTATGTACATACATTACATTTTCATAAATATATTGCGATGCCAAAGTTAATGTTTATTTCTTTAAATTTTTCTCTAAGGGACTCTTTACAATTTAGATTATAAATCGCCCGTACGGCTCTCTTTTGCAAAACAAATATAGCTTCAATATCAGTCGCATTACCCCATAGCAAAATTCCATAAGACATTACGCTATGAAAGTAACTAAAATACACTAACCTAGCTGTCTCAACATCTGTGAGACTTCTAATCTTTCTTACAGCATATGCTGCAGAACTAAGTCTGCTTGCTAATTTAGATATATGGGGGCCCCATTGAAGTTTCGCGTCAATAGTAATACCGAGAAAAACAGTGGTATCCACAAGACTCAACTCCTCCCCATTTAAGAGCACATTGGTTTTCGAATGTTTTACATTAGGTATTGTAAATTTAATACATTTTGTCTTATTGCCGTTTAAGAGCAAATTGTTGGCGTTAAACCAATGTACTAGTTTCGATAGAGCATTATTTACATCGTCATATTTAATTGACTGCCGTTTCAGTTTGAAAATTAAAGAGGTATCGTCAGCAAATAATACTATATCGTGATTGTCCCCTACAAGATAAGGTAAGTCATTAATATAGATTAAGAACAGGAATGGGCCAAGAATCGAGCCCTGAGGAACGCCCATTGATACTACCGATCCGGAGGAACATTTACCATTAATGACGACTTTTTGAGTTCTGTTACTTAAATATGAAGTAATAAGTTTAAGCGCCAAATTTTTTACACCGTAATGTTGTAGTTTCCTGATTAATGTATCATGATGAACACAATCGAAAGCCTTGGAAAGGTCACAGAAAATACCTAAGGCATCTTGTGAATTCTCCCAGGCATTAAAAATATATTTCATAAGCTCAACACCGGCGTCAGACGTCGAGCGACCCCTTGTAAAACCAAATTGATTTTTATGAAGTAATTTATTTGTATTAAAAAAAATTAACAATTGATCCAAAATTATTTTTTCAAAAATTTTACTGAGAGTTGGTAGTACAGAAATAGGTCTATAATTAGCGGGGTCCAATGTACTACCAGATTTAAATAAAGGTATTACTTTACTATACTTCATTAAATCAGGAAACACACCAGAATCGATACAAGTATTAAAAATAATAGCAAGATGAGGTGCAATTAAATCTATTATGGACGTAATCACTGTAACGGAAATCCCCCATAAATCTGCGGTTTTCTTTACATCAATGGTTTTGAAGTATTTTACAATATTATGCGGTAATACTTTTTCAAATCTAAATTCTTTTAAACAGGTATTAACATTCTGTTTAAGTAATGATTCGGCGACAGTTGGAGAAGCATTCAATGACTCTGTTGTCAAGATAGGAACATCAGTGAAATATTTCTCAAACACCGCTGCAACTTCTTGATTTGATTTAGTCAATTCATTATTAATTTTTAATTGATAGTTTGAATTACGAGGTTTCTCATTACCGGTTTCGCTGTTAATTATACTCCACGTCATTTTAATTTTATTCTTAGCTGTCTTAATTTTGTTACTAATATGTAATGATTTGGCTGTGGAGCAAACTCTTTTAAACATTTTAGAATAATTTTTTACATATTCTTTAAAAGCATCGGAAAGATTATACGATCTTTCATGGTAAAGGTCATATAACCTTCGTCTGCTTTTATGAATTCCTACTGTCGCCCACTCATTAAATGCCTTGCGACTGTTTCTGGAGAATGTTTTAGAAGTGAATGTTTTATTAAATTCATTGTTTATAAAGGTAAATAATTCTCTATATAAATAGTCTGCATTGTTCTTATAAGAAAGGGATGGAAGGATTTTTAACATATTACTTCTAAATCTCTCCAGGCGTTTTGCATTAATAGGAACAAACACAATTTTCTCATTTACCTGTTTTTTGTGCATATAAGGTAACGAAACCAGTTGTCCACAGTGATCTGAACTAAGTTTTTGAATTATTGATTTGTTGATTGGTACAACACCTGTAAAAATATTATCAATACAAGTTGCACTACACCCTGCAATACGTGTAGCTTCAAAGAATAAATTATTAAGATTATAGGATTTGAACAAAGAACAGAATTTAATACTGATGGAAGAAGTTTCCAGGAGATTGATATTAAAGTCTCCACACACTACAAGAGATTTATTCTGTTTATTAAGCTTAACTAAAACTTCTTCTATAATTTTTTCAAAAGTATCATAACTTGAACATGGGGGTCTGTAAACACTGACAACAATAAGGTGCTCAAGCTCAACACATGCCATTTCTACAGTACGCTCAACAGAGAGGCTCACAATGTCTTTACGTTCTTTACATGATAAGGACTTATTAGCTAATATTAAGGAGCCACCACGTAATTTAGTATCTCTATTGAACGAACTGACCACCTGGTGATTACTGAAATTAAATATGGAGTTGTATTCTTTCAACCAATGTTCTGTAATACATAAAATATTTATACTGTTACTATTTAAAAATAATTCAATTTCTAATTCTTTGCCTAACATACCTTGTATATTTTGATGCACCAGGTTGATACAGTTTTTATTATTGTTATTTTGTAAAATTGCATAATTATGTATTGGTAAGTTGCATTCTAAGCTATTTAAATTATCTTTGCTAGAGATTACCTCTATTGTCTTATTATCTAATTTAAATTACTTGGAACTGGTTCCAAATCAAATGTAAAATTATTTTGTTGCTCAAAAGAAGCAGGTGTCAAGGTAGCCAAATCATTGGCTGAGTTAAAATATAAATAATAAGATAGCGTATCTGCTACCAGTCTTAAACTATACTTTGATAGGTAATACCTATCTCTTGTCAAAAACTTCTTAGTTAAATTATTAATATCAATTAAATGAAATTTATCATTATTATTCTTACAATTAAATGTCAAATTTAAGTTATTGTTACATGTCAAGTTATGCATCATTAAATTTAAATTATGTCTTAGTTTATTTTCCTGTGGCCACCCCTCTATATAAGGCAATGTAAACAAGATAACTTTAACCACATTTATGTTATTGAGATATTCAATATATTTTAATAATTGATTCTTGTTCATATTGCCTCTTCTCCCAACAAAAATTATTAATATACTATTAGGGTTAAATTTACTAGTTAAAATTTTATTCATAATATCACTGAATGATGCTCCAGGCATGCAGTAATTACTTATCTGTTGCCTTTTTAAACAGTTATTCAATGATATACCCAAGTTTTTGCCTATGTCATCACTATACACAATTATATTATTTTTTTCATTATATGAATTACTTTTTAAATTTATCTGCTTTGTTATGGTACTATCATAGAGTGTAGGTAAAGAAAATGAAGTATTACTGCTTGTCATATTATTAACACACACTGTCCCTAAAGAACCTGGCAGTGAGCGCTGATATTCATTTTGATATTTTAATAAGGAGTCAAAACGTTCCTCGTTATATTTGCAGGACTTTACCAGATTATCCATGGCCAGTATGTGTTCTTTTATCTCATTCCCTGCATCTAGGAATCTAATGATCTAATGATCGAATCTAATGATATCCCATATCTTAAAATCCATGAAGCTGTTTGGACTACAGAGCATGCCAAAGAAATAGATATTCATAACAGTTTTCGAAAAACATTACGCTCCTTTTTTATACGAGAGAGCGCAAACGAGCATGCGGCTCACCTGATGGTAAGTGACTACCGCCGTCTATGAACAACTGCAACACCAGGGGAATTGCAGGTGCGTTGCCGGTTGCTCCTGTTGGGACAGTCGGGTGAAAAGAAAAACGAAAAAATATTAAATACTTTATTTTATTTTATTTACAAATCAGGAAAACTTATATCTGTTTCAAACAACTACGTTCGCCCCAACTAACCTCCCTATAAAACTGACTAATACTAGTATGGTACAGAGGAATCCCACTCAACACCGAAGACCTGGCTCCAGTAATTTTAACAGCGACATAATCTCCAGGTTTAACCAACCTCCTGCCATTATCTTCAGATACAATCTCCGCTTGATCAAAAACGACTCTGAGATAAAATTCATTTCTTCCTATAATCTGACCAGTTTTCTTCAAACTACCCTCAACTAGTACTAAATGAGTATTGCCTATCTCCGCCTCGTTCAACGCCTGACATTTCCTTCTGTAAAGTTCCAGCATCCGACTGTGGCGATCTTTCTTCACTTCTTCGGGGATGTCATCTTTGTAGCGACGGTACGCGGTAGTTTTCTGTGATAAAGCGTTTTATTTCAATTCAGATGACAAACTAGCTAACGCACATTTTAGACGTGGTAGAGCCAGGCTGCAGCTATATTATATGGTTGTAGCGCGAATGGGTCGGCCCGAACGGGGTGGGACCACGCTCTCGCAGAATATTAGCGTAAAATAGGAGCTTAATGCTGCTGTGTTTCGTATGGTGAGTGTAGAGAATCGGAGACCTTTTTTACTGGAAACGAGGCATTCCATCTTTGTCCTCAGGGGTGTCGGCGCATCTGCATTATGAATCTTTATCGATAAATATAGATGTCTATTGCTTTATCGGCCTCAGTATCAACTTACCAACACGTTGACTGTGTGTTCGTTTATCACCTATATTCTATTTTTAAAAAAAACATTTACATCTACCCAATGTTAAATTATGTCCTCCAGATCGAGTTTCGGTCACGGCGGCCAGTGTCAACGGAGACTAGCCATCTGCGTAAGACAGGATCGTAGTAGCAGAGTGTTTGCGCAAGCACAAGTGCACTCTCTATCCCCTCACTCGCATAGTCCGATGGAACGGGAATCAGATACGACCGGAGAGAGATCAGGCGCAGGACTAATTGCTTTAGGTGCTTTCCAAGACACGGAAGTGAAACACCGCTAACTTCCTGACTCGGGCCGCTACTGAGAATTTCTTAATAGAAAAACCCACCAATTGATTTTGACCGTTCACGACTGTTAGACCAACGAGGTACTCAACCGAATGTTAATCAGCTATTGCGCCTGCAGTCCTTTCCCGGTCGAGCCGACCCATTCATGCTATAACTATTTACTCGTATAGCTACAGCACGGCTCTACACGTACAACGCACACGGTAGAGCCATGCCGCACCCGTTACTGTTTCGCCGTTACTATACGGTATTATAACTATTGTATTGTTCTAATAAAATTATTAAATAAATTAACATCTTAACGTCACAAGTAAACTCACCTCTCGCATGCTGTACGGGAAAAGAAAGGCGACATTGTAGTCAACAATCTCCATTAAAGACATCGTCTCTTGGAACTCCTCCTCGGTCTCCCCACAGAAACCGCAGATCATATCGGTTGATAAGCCCACTAGAGAAAAAAAAGAAAGAGTTTTTTTAGTATGACATAAGATTATTACAATAAATGTTTTATTGAATTTATTGGCTCCATAGTGTAAAATTGTACTTCGGGAGCCTAATGCCTTAACTTAAGCATTAGCATTTTGATTCGTAATCGAGGATAAATTGTAGATGTCTATGGGCGATAGCATCCACTTACTATCAGGTGGACTGTGTGCTCGTTTGTTACCCTTATAAAAATTTCTCCAATTTCAAGCTAACCTCCCGGTATCTTCTGTTTCACTCTATCCACAAGGTCCAAATAAGCCTCACGGGTGTAGCCTCGTCTCATTCGCTCCAGCACGGCACTGGAGCCCGATTGTGCGGGCAGGTGCAGAAGCTTGCAGATGTTGGGACGATCCGATATCACTTCCAGCACCTGTTGATTAATATAATGGTTTTTTTGAAGTAAAAACTTCTTTAAAATCGTTATGATTTGAAACTCGACGAAATGAAGAAGCGACATTAAAAAAAGAACAACATATACATCTATAAGATTTAACCTGCGGGAGAATGAGATAGAACACAGTGTAGTAAGAGACAGTAGCCTAATGGAAGGGTGTGGACCGCGAACTCAAAAGATTGTGGGCTCAAATCCGCCAATCGTATACTCTGTCTCCTCTTTGTGCGGTGTTTTATAGATGGTTACTATAAATTTTAACTGTTAAAATAAACAGTATAAATTCATATAAATTTATGAAATAAATAAAATTAACCATAATGAATAAAGCCGCCGTAAGGAATATGACCTTATATATTTACATAAAATTCTCCATAATAAGATTGATTCCAATTACCTCTTAAGTAAATTAAACTTAACTACAAAGCGCAATCCCCGAATTCCTATCAAGACATTTTACCTGCAGACTTATAAGAATAATACTTTCTTTTATAACCCGATAGTAAGAATGTGTCGACTTTACAACGAGATATCCATGAAAAGCTCCGGCATGGATGTGTTTGACCCAAGATCCAGGATATTCAAAAGAGCAGTGAAACAGTATACACTTATGCACACTCATTCCATATCACGTAGGTTTTAAGTTTCTTATTTGTATATTTTTATTTTTTGTTTACTGTAATTATGTATGTCATAAACATTGCAAAGCGTAGAGTTGATCTCCTGTATTTCATATAAAAATGATGTGTCAACATATTTAGGATAACAATCTGGCACAAAACTGTTATATTTATATTATATTGTAATGTATTTTGATTGTTATCTGTTTTGATGTCCATATAATAAATAAATAAATAAAATTATCATATCCAATCCATTCATAACAATCCACGATTTCATAACCTCAGGTCATCTAGCGTCTGTTTTACGTACCACCTTGAGACTCAATCAATTTTATTTCAATAAAACGCCCTTTACCCATAGAATAAAGTAGATGGCACTATAACACAGCAATTTTACTCGTAAGAAAATATTCTTTTGATCTTATACACTAAAATTTAGGCTGTTAAAAATAAGATTTGTAACATTTATTTCCTATAAAATTAAACTTATATCTTAAATTTTATGCCGCACTTCTGATTTAAAATTATCATTATCATCATATTAACAAAATCAGTATTTTTTTTAAATAAACGTTATCTCCACACTAGGATTTCTCCTGTATCGCGGGAGCAGTTTACATACATAGATTTCACAAGGAGAAACATCCAGACCCGGAACAATTATTAGTAAGCCATACAAATACTTGTTACGCGCGGGATTCGAACCCGCGGCCCTGTAACTCATTGCTAACCTAGCAATGAGTCGTCAATAAAATAATACTTTAGTTACCATAACCCACTCGTGTCATTTGCATTTGTAGAAATTGAAAGCTTGGAGTCTATTTAATATGTAATGTAATAAGTATAACATGTAGAATTAAGAGAAAAAAAAATTAAAACTTGGTATAGTTATTCTATTTCACGATGAAGTTTTGACTTTGATTGTTGTTAGCCGTGCACATACATATTGCGTTAGTGTGAGTAGGCCTCGGGAGCGCTACTCCCGAGCGCCCGTAGCCTACGTATAATAAACCCTACAATTATACTCCTCCTACGTATATTATACAATTGTACAGCATACAGCCCGATACTCTGCATTCGTCTCATTTTCTCGAAGTTTAGTGTTCGGAAGTTTTCACTTCTACCGCGTGTGATCTGCACACATGTTTTTGTAAAATAATTGTAAAAAATGAGCACACAGTCTACCTTGACAAGTGGGTGCTGTGGCCCATAGATATCTACATTTATTCTCAATTAAGAATAAAAATGCCAATGCATTGTTACCCCTGAGAACTGGGATGGAATACTTGATTTCCAATCAAAATGTCTCCGGTTCTCTACACTCACTATACGAAATCACAGCACATTAAGCTGCTATTTTACGCTGGTATTCTGTGAGCGCGTGATCCTACTCCGATTGAACCGACCCATACGTGTAGCTTGGCTCTACCACATAAAACATATGATGATGATGACAAACGACTTCAAAAAGGAGACGGTACTCAATTCGGCTGTATGATTTCTTTTTTCTTTTTTTATGTGTGTTACCTCATAACTTTTTTCTGGGTGAACCGATTTTGATGATTCTTTTTTATTTGAAAGCTGGTGCTTCTTATGTGGTTCCATACAAATTTGATCAAGGTCTGACCAATAGCTTTTGAGTTATTCTTAATAATTTATACTGAAGTAGGTTGTACAAAATTTTAAATTTTGTTTAAATAGGCACAAATAAAATTTGAAACAAAGCCATCATTTACAGTTTTATGCCAAATTGTAATAACTACCTAGTGATTGAAATTGGACTAGAATTCATAAAATTTTTAAGTTTGTGTATTAAGCAACTTGTGTTTTACTTTCAACTGCACAATGATAAATAAGAAAACATATGTTTTTAATAAACGAAAAATAAAATAAACAATTTTTTAAATACACTCCACACACTATTGAAATGGGGACCTTTGAAATTACACAAAATTCCCATATCGTTCAGTCAATTATTTGTCAACAACATTCTAAAATTCTTTGGGGACAATGTCTACACTAGAGATGTTACGAAGGTTCGATTCCGATTCCGAAAATTCGGAACTTCCGAATAATTTTGCAGCTTCGATTCCGATTTCGGTTTCGTTAAATTTTAATCAGAAGTTATATATCGGAGGTCGATGCACAGTGGCGGCGGCCGCGATCAGCGTGTACAAACAAGTTTATACTTGTCGCCTTGATGACTTGATGTTTTGTTTCGTTAAAAAGTCATTTAAAGTCTGTGCATGCCACTGAATTCAAAGAATTCAAAAAATTTGAAACTGAAAAGAAAAATACAGTACAATAGACATGCCCTTAACACATCTCTTCTGCCTCCACTTCCGATTCCGGTTCCGATTTCGGTTCCGGTTCCGATTTCGGTTCCGGTTCCAACAAACAAAATTTAAAATCTCCGCTTCCGAATTCGGTTCCGATATAACCACTTCCGTAACATCCCTAGTCTACACTATGCGACTGTTTGATCACAGACTAATAAGTGTTTGACATTGGCAGTATGAACGTAAACAAACGATAGAACAATTTATTATCCAGCTCACTATTAGATATGGAATTCTCCCATATCTAATAGTGAGCTATCTAACAAGTACAATAATTAACAAATGCTAACCTCATCAGGGAAATCCTTTGGATGTGCTGCAGTGAACCTTATCCTTATTTCAGGATCAATGGCGGATACTTTATCCAGTAAGTCTGCAAACCTTAGACCCCCTTTTTTAGTTTTGTACACAGTCTTGAAACCTGTAAACATCATATCGTCGGTTTATAGTGTAAACCCGCTAACGTCATAATATGTAAAGAACATCGGTCACGGCCCATACATGCTGTGACCTGGCTATAAAACATCGCGAACATGATTAGTGTATGTATTCATCCGTTCCCCCTGGGCGCAATCTCAACCCTAAATTGAAAATATATTATTTAAAAGCCGAGAATCATAGAACGTTACACTAAAGTATTTCGTCACTTTTGAGGTTATGATGTAGCCATAACTGCAGCCATGACCACAACATCAGCTAAAACAATTGATATGAAAATTATGCAGTAATATATACTTAACTAAATAAGTCAAGTCAATGACTAAAACCACAAAAATGAATCAATAATCTTTCTAATCTTTTCACTGTTAAGTATCTAAGACACAAGTGCAGAGAACACAGGTGCTTTGACTTTTGCTCACGTTTTGACAGCTCTCGTGTCATAATACAACAAATTGCATAGAGACACTTGTAATACGTTCCGTTCTTAGTATAAGTGCATTCTGTATTTACTGTCAACCTATCATTTGCAACTTATTTCGGAATACTTTCCATATCCCCATCTAAAAATTATATTATTGATAATACACTACAAATATAAATAAAAAATCTACAATTAAATCTAGTGTTTAAAAAAAACTAAACGCATAATGGTAGTGTTACTTTAGTGTTATTATGAAACGTGTACCACAGATAAAACGGGACGGGTAATGCGTTCAAAACCATCGATCACTAATAAAGATCGATGTTCAAAACCTATAAAAAGTAGTAAGTAAATGAGGTTTTTCATTACAAAGCTAAATAATTTTACCGGCTTCAATAAAATAAGTTGGACCCCGTAATTTAATATACACCTAAGTCCCTATTGTTTGACGTATCAATCATTGGTGGTCGTTTCATAATATTTTGGTCAGGTCGTATTTGGCCGATGTTCTTTACAGGAGAAACAAAAAACATCATTAAAAATATAAATTAATTAGGGGGAGGGGTTTTAATACAGTTGGAGTATTCTTTTATTATTATTTATAATGTAAAATAAAATAAAGGTTAATAAATTCAGTATTCATTTATTTATTAATATTTTTTTGATATAGCAGGTTTTGTAATTGATAAAAGTTTTTAATAACATATTTAGCATGTTTTCTTTAAAACAAAAATATTCCTCTTTTATGCTCTTTTATTATTAAGTAACTAATATTCAACATTATAACATAGGTTGTAGACCACTTTGTCTCTATAATTATATTAATAAACTTAATAATATCTATATCTTTTATAGTCCAGAGATAAATTATAATCAATTCAATAGCCATATTTTCTTTATTACACTTTGCTTCCTAGAAATTTTGTAATTTCATATTTCTTCCTTTTTTCTCCCGCAATAATTTTCTAATTTCTCTCATCTCTGTCAGACTGTCAGCAAACCAAATTTACTTTTAAATCTGAATCCTTTTATTTTTTTCTTGCTTTTCCCTGGGTAGTTTTTGTAATCAGACTTCGAGTCTGAATTAATTTTCTGCCGACTTCCAAAAAGGAGACGGTACTCAATTCGACTGTTCTTTTTTTGTTTTTTTTTTATGTGTGTTACCTCATAACTTTTTACTGGGTGGACTGATTTCGATAATTCTTTTTTTATTTCAAAGCTGGTAGTTCTCGTGTGGTCCCATATGAATTTGATCAAGTTCAAGGCAATAGTTTTTGAGTTATTCTTAATAACTTATATTGAAGTCGGCTGTACAAAATTTTTAATTTTAAATTATATGAGGTACTAAGCCTCCTTGTATAATTTTATCTGATGTTTTTGATACTCCAACAAATGCTGTAAGCTGTTTTTTCTTTAGCCGGGCATCTTCCAATACAAGTTTTTCAACTTTTTCGATTATTTCTGGCGTGGTAGCCTCAATTGGCCGTCCACGTCGGGGTCGTCTTCAATGAAGTCCCTCCCTTGTTTGAAAAGGGCGTGCCATTTACAAATCATAGCTTTCCCAGGAGCGGAGTTCCCATAAACAGCTAACATCTCATGAAAAATGGTTTGAGGTGTCTTTCCTTGTTTGGTAAGAAACTTAATGACGGCGCTATATTCAATATTCTCCATAGTGGCTAGTTTCTTCCCGATTGACTTGTTTACTTATTGATAACTCAAAAACCAATGACCCGATTAGGCTGAAACTTGGTATATATACTAACAATGAGTCACTCAACTAGCGCCTACCTGGATGAATAAACACACCCTCGCCAACGCCGCCATTCCGCGCACTTTCTGAACTCTCCTCGTATGTTAGTATTTCAATAATTATGATATCAAAAAAAAACAAGACTGTGAAGGGCTGTAATGATGATGAACCCCGGTTGAATGATAGAATGATGATGAACCCCGATTGAATGATCGAATGATGATGAACAAAGTGTTGAATTAGCTTTAATTACTGATTTACCATGGGTGTAATGGTGAAATATTTACATATTTAACTTAAATAAAAAAATTAAAAATAAACCAAGTATTCCGTTTACCTTTTGCTAGCTGTGTGTCAGTGGCGCCAGTCTGTTGTGTCACGTCTCTATAACTGTTGACATTCTGACCTAGCAAAGTGACCTCCCGCACGCCTCTTTCTGCTAAATATCTGACCTCCTCCACAAGTGAGGTCACCGGTCGCGACCTCTCGCGCCCTCTCGTAAACGGTACTATACAATATGTGCACATATTATCGCAACCACGCATTATAGATCTAAAAAGAAAAAAAATATATATACAAGGTTACTTTTCAAAGAGTAAACAGATTATAAACTTAAATTCAAATATATAAATAATGATATACGGTAATTGCAGTATACCGATATATTGTTATTGCAGTTTTTGAAAATGCAAGTAAATAAGACTTCACTTTTATTTGAAATAATCCCAAGTTGAATGTGATTTATGAGCAACAAGGTGTTTGCCTACCGATCGACACTAAAGAATGTATAAGTATGCAATAAAATCAGTTAAAATAATGCATTATTGAATTTAAAAGATAAAAAGGGCAGATTTATAAATTTTTTTTACAAGGATTTCTTTACCATTTGCCTGTATTACTCATTGTGAACATTCTCTGCAAATTTGGTCGGTTATCGCAAAATAATCCTGTATAAATTTTAATATCAATTTATTGATTTATTTACATAAAATTCAAACATATTTATACAATATTTATTACCATAATTAACTGAAACTAGAATCTTAAAATGTCAAACCATCCTACTCCCCTGCGGTATAGTGCCAAGAAGTCTGGCTGCATTTCCTCGCTGTATGGCTATACTTTTGAGCATCAAAAAACCTAGCACTCCTATCGCCACAGCAGCGAAGACCAGTCGCGGATACAGTTCCTTTAGGAACTTAATCGAATGTGGACCCCACGGGCTCTTACGATAACCACAAGATGATATGGGGTAGTGCATATTTTTACACCCGCTGCTATCCAGGTAAAATATTAAATTTTTTTTAAACATAGGAGTAAGAATTTTGGTTCAAATGGGTTGTAAACGCGGAGACAGATCAATGTCACAAAACTTTTTATAAATTATTTATTTATTTATTTAATTACAACAAAGATAACACAAACACACAATTAACTCAGTAAAAGTCATTTATAAGGTACTGCCCGACTATCCTCTGAAAAAACCAGATAAATTGTAGACTAAGATGGAAATGAGGCATTCCATCTTAGTCCACAGGGGTTGCAATGCATCTGCATTTTGATTCTTAATCGAGGAATTATTTCAGTGTACTTGTTTGTCAACTGTACTGTATTCTATAAAATAAAATTATTGTAAATACAATAGGGCCTTGATAAACCGAACATCCAAAATTTACACCCTGTTCGAATTAATGAGGTGTTTGGATTACGGTATATAAGAAACTATATAATCTTCAGGGTCAAAGTCATCCAGATCTTGGCCAGAAGTTTGAATAACGAGGGCCACAAAGGCTTTCAAGCTTTTTTGATCAAATTTAAGGACATTTGTTGACAACATTCTCTTTTTTCTTATTTTTAAAGAAAAATGGCTCAATTGTTTAACCGGTGATTCTCAGCCAATGTCAAAGTTGAGAAATACAAGAGGATATTACACAAAAAAAAGGACAACTGTAGGAGTATATTTGGACTACTAATTTTGGAAGTAATTTAGTGCGTAACCCAAGAAGTTGAGATAGCTAAAAAGGAAATAAACTCCACAAGATTGATTATCAACTATATTGAGATTATACTATATATTTATGTATAATACAGGAATTGCAATAGATTTAAATATTATACACGAATTAAACTTAACACACCTATGTTGTGAATAATATTAGTTATAATTTTCTACCAAAAAGGAGACGGTACTCAATTCAACTGTATGTTTTTATTATATGTGTTACCTCATAACTTTTTACTGGTTGAACCGATTTCGATGATTCTTTTTTAATTGAAAGCTGGTGCTTCACATGTGGTCCCATATAAATTTGATTAAGGTCTGACCAATAGTTTTTGAGTTATTTTTAATAATTTACATCAAAGTCGGTTGTACAAAATTTTTTATTTTAAGTTATATGATATTAATATTCATATTTTTATATTATTAATTCTTAGAAATTTTGCAAGCACATTAGCAAAAGGGGTTTTTATTAAGGTTAGTAAAAAGGGAACATTTACTGGACGTTGAATATTAAAAGGTATTATATCATATAAAGGGACTATCAAACAACTGCATCCAAAGAATATGTGCTACAGAGTATCCTTATCAAGACTATACTCGCACAAATAACTATCTTTTACACGAATTTTTACTAAGAGCGAGCATGGCCAAAGCGTAGTGTTATTATAACAAACGTTATTAGTTTACTTAAGTTTCGTTGTCTAGAATATCGACAGTCTGGAAGATTGCCATCTATTATTCCATTTATCCATCATATTTACCTAGTTTAGCTGCAACACACAAGTCCCAAACAAAATTGAAATTTTATGTATCACAACCATATAATAAGGCTTTCCTAGCAAGTCCATCTCCGTTCTTTTTGCCTTTAATACCACAATAGCCAGGAATCCAAGCAAGAATAACTTCATTACCAGAGCAATAACACTTAAAGAGAACTTGTATTATTTTTAAAGTGATTAAAAACTTGTGTTTAGAGTGAAAAGGGGATTTAATAATATCGTGCAAACAACTTCGTGCATCAGATAGAATCAAACATATATATTATGGGATTCTAGAAGCAGCATAGAAGACTGCTTCTAGGAGAGTGATTGATTCTCCTGAAAAAACTGAGTACTCCAAAGGAGAGTTTGAGTATCCCCAAATAAAAAAATGATTTTATATTTGGCGATCCATACAGCTACACCAACTTTACTATTGTCACCTTGTTTCGGAGCATCTGTGAATATAATAAGAACGTCAGACCAAGACCTTTGAATAATCTCATCAAACATTCTACCTGCACAGGGATAGTTCTTGTCAACACCCAGGTTCAGGATCACATTATGTTGGAAAACGAGTGAGTAGAAGTCAAATAGGAACATAGGGTTCTTTTTGAATTATAGATATTTTTATGGAGTACATTAAAACTTTTGAGTAGAGGAGGAAGATTATAATAGGTCCAATAGTTAGAATTTACAGTGCAAGAAAGAGAACTCAAAACACGCACTAGAGGATGAGAAGAAGTCTGCATAACGTTAGGAAGGAATCTATCGGACAGAAATTGCCTATGTAAAAAATAGAGGTGCTTTTAGACATTGCACCTGAAAGGCGGCTATCGAGGACGATTTCATAGCACCACACACATGTAATAAATAATACGCAAGCACTTTGAGTGTATCTTATCTAGTTTTCTAAGAGCAAGTTTGCTGCAAGGTCGCTCAGCGAGCTATGGAGAGGGCTATGCTCAAGGTTTCTCTGCATGATAAACTTAGAAATGAGGATATCCGCAGTAGAACCAGAGTGACTGACATAGCCCAACGGATTAGAAAGCTGAAGTGGCAGTGGGCCGGCCGTATAGCTCGAAAAACCAACAACCGATGGCGAAAAAAGGTTCTCGAGTGGCGGCCTCGTACCGGCGGGCAAAGTGTGGGGCGTCCCCCCACTATATGGAGTGACGACCTGGTAAGACATGCATGAAGTCGATGGATGCAGGTGGCTCAGGACCGTGCTTTGTGGCATTCCTCGGGGAAAGCCTATGTTCAGCAGTGGACTTGTGAAGGTCTGTAAAGATGATGATGATGTAATATAAATTCAGCATAGTCAAAGTGGCTGTGAATTATTGCATTATAGAGAATTTTTTGGTCGAATGGGTGAGACCCCCAACGCATACCAGATAATGCGTGTAAAATATTAAAATTTTTCTCACACTTTGCTGCCACATAGTTCAAGTGATAAAGACCGGACATATGAATGTCGAGGATAACACCTAGAAAGGAGAATGGGATTTTTGGGCCTGAAGTTAACTAATTGGATTATACTCTAAAAAATTGAACATATTTTTCTAAAGTAAAATATAAAAAAGTAGCTCTTTTACAATCCATAATTCGAAAAAAAAAACAATAAAATAAGAAATAAGTTAGAAAATCGATTGTAGTGTATTCTTTATGGCGATAAATCGATTGAAATTCTTGTTTCTGAACGTTATTTTCCAATAGAGGACTTCTCATTTTGAAACTTTACAGTTCCAACTATTTACACAAAAGAAAAAGACTGATTTTGATTTTCAATTAAATTGAGCATTTTAATATCTATTTTCGATTATCTTTCTGTGTTAACTTGGGAAATAAAAAATGATTGTGTACATATCTACAAAATAATAATAAAAAATACAAAATATTAACATTCCAACAAGTAAGTAACATTTACAACAACAATTCAAGTAATCAATCTCAGATCAATATCCTTAATATTCATTTCACTTAGTTGTTGTTGTTTTAACTTTCGTTAATCATTTCACTGACCATTCAACTGAAGGTCATACAGGCTTACGCACCAACCTCGGCACACCCCGATGGGGAGGTGGAGGAAATGTATGAGGATATCTCTAGAGCCATGCATTCCTCCAAAACCCAATATACGGTGTTAATGGGAGACTTCAATGCAAAACTAGGCACAAGAGAGAACGGTGAGCTGAAAGTAGGGAAATTTGGAATAGGGCAACGGAACCCAAGGGGCCAGCAGCTGGCCGACTTCATGGAGAAAGAGGGACTCTTTATGATGAACTCTTTCTTCCAGAAGCGGCCCCACAGGAAGTGGACCTGGTCGAGCCCCGATGGTTCGACAAAAAATGAGATTGACTTCATTATGACGACCAGACGACAACTGTTCAGTGATGTCTCCGTGATCGCGAGGGTGAAAACTGGTAGCGATCACCGAATGGTTAGAGGCACACTGAAACTAAACGTTAAGTTGGAGAGGTCTCGTCTAATGAAGTCAACGCTCCGTCCCCCTCGTGCTCTGTACCAAAGTCCCGAAACCTTTCAGCTCGAGTTACAAAACCGTTTTCAGTGCCTAGAAGACTGCAATGAAGTGGACGATATGAATGACAAGCTCGTGGAAACTGTCCATGCGGTCGGAGCTAAGTTCTGCAAGACCCGCCCCAGAAGAACACAAAAACTCTCCGATCACACTCTTAATCTCATGGCTGTTAAACGGGAGATGAAGCTACATTCTTCAACAGACTTGACAGCATACAGGCATCTGAACAGACAGATCTCCAAATGCATGCGGCGGGACTTCCGCAACTTCAATACAGCTCGTATTGAAGAAGCGATCGAGCGGAACCAAGGCTCCAAAGTCTTTGCCAGAGATCTGTCTGCCAGAAAGAGCCACCTGTCAAAGCTGAAGACAGAATGTGGCAGCATCGTTTCCGGGACACTTGAGATTTTGAGTGAGATTGAGAGGTTCTATGGGCAGCTGTACACGTCATCGTTGGAGCCACACGCAAGTGTGAGTAACGATCCAAGAGCGAGTCTCATCCGACACTATTCCGAAGATATCCCGGACGTCAGTCTGAGCGAGATTAGAATGGCTCTCCAGCACCTTAAAAACGGTAAGGCCCCAGACGAGGATGGAATTACAGCGGAGCTTCTGAAAGCGGGTGGAAGACCGGTACTTGAAGTCCTTCAGAAGCTCTTTAATTCCGTCCTCCATGGTGGCATTACACCGGAGGCGTGGAGCAGAAGTGCGGTGGTCTTGTTCTTCAAGAAAGGTGACAACGCTCTCTTGAAGAACTACAGACCGATTTCCCTTCTGAGCCGCGTCCACGTGCTGTTTTCGAGAGTCATTACGAATCGTCTCGCGCGCAGACTTGACGACTTCCAGCCTCCCGAACAAGCCGGTTTCCGAAAGGGCTTTAGCACCATAGACCACATACATACCCTTCGGCAAATTGTACAGAAGTCCGAAGAGTACAATTTGCCACTATGTCTGGCGTATGTGGACTATGAGAAAGCCTTTGATTCCGTCGAAATTTGGGCGGTGCTGCAGTCCCTTCAGCGGTGCCAAGTTGACTGTCGGTATATCGAAGTGTTGAAGTGCTTGTACAGTAGGGCTACGATGGCTATCCGAGTACAGAACCAGAGTACGAAACCTATCCAATTGCAGAGAGGTGTAAGACAGGGTGACGTCATATCCCCGAAACTCTTCACCGCTGCATTGGAAGACGTTTTCAAGCTTCTGGACTGGAAAGGATACGGTATCAACATCAATGGCGAGTACATCACTCACCTTCGATTTGCCGACGATATAGTCCTTATGGCAGAATCGCTGGAGGACCTAAGCACTATGCTCAATGACCTCGATAGTGTTTCCCAACGGATAGGTCTTAAGATGAACATGGACAAAACAAAGATCATGTTCAATGTCCATGTCACACCTATGCCGGTAGTTGTTGGGAGCACTAAGCTCGAAGTTGTTGACGATTATGTTTACCTGGGACAAATAGTCCGACTAGGTAAGTCCAACTTCGACCGATAGACCTTGATAGCGTCTGCCGAAAAGCAATCAACATCTACAAAATGGTTTCCAGGGCGGCAAAAGCCCATTGGGGATTAAATTCTGAAATCATAAAAACCATCTATTCAGCTGTGGTCGAACCGACAATACTATATGCTGCTAGCTGTTGGGCGGAGACAACCGAAAAAAAGTATATCGAAAAAATACTTAATAGAATGACCCAAATATTTGGTATACGTATCTGCAAAGGGCATAGAACTAACTCCCTGATCTCCAGCACTATTCTGTCCCAAATAATACCATTAGCACTAAGGGCTAAAGAGAACGCAAACATATACGAGATCAAGAAAGGAAAGCCCGTCGATTTCTTACCTGGAAGACAACTAGAAAAACTAATAAGCCCTTACGATCTGCCCCATCCATGCGAGAGGGCGCAGCGCAGTTTTGGCCTAGTAAGTGAACAGAAGGAAATTGATGACGTAAATAACGACTGGGTCAAAATCTTCACTGATGGAAGTAAAATCGACACAAAGGTAGGCGCAGCAGTAACGATCTGGAAAAATGGAGTGGAAATTAAGACAATAACCTTCAAACTAGAAAGCTATTGTAGTGTCTTCCAAGCAGAGATGATTGCAATTTTAAAAGCTGTAAAGTACGTTGCTGACAGAGATTACCAAGGAGCAAATATCTTTACTGATTCAAGATCAGCTGTTATAAGCATATGTGATCCAAGCTCATTGAACCCAATTGCTTTTAAAATTCGTAACATGATAAAAGACATTGAAGACAACCAAAAGAAAATCTTACTGTACTGGATTAAGGCCCACTGTGGAATTCAGGGCAACGAAAGAGCAGACGAACTAGCCAAACGAGCTGCTACTAGAAGCAAGCAAAAACCGGAATATGATAAATTCCCACTGTCGTATGCAAAGCGCCTCACTAGAAACGCAACCCTACAAATTTGGCAAAGAAAATATGAAGAATCGACAACCAGCACCATAACCAAGACTTTCTTTCCCAATGTTTTAGTAGCTTATAAAGTAATAAAAAATATAAAAATGAATAATTTAGTCACACACCTGTTTACTGGGCATGGCGGTAACAATGCTTACCTGTATAAATATAAATTGGCATCATCCCCGTGCTGCACTTGCGATGAAAACGTAAACCAAACTGTAGAGCACATTATAATTGACTGCCCGCGATTCAGTAAAGGAAGATTTGAAGCTGAATGCAGCATGGGAATGACCATTGCAAAAGACAATCTAAACATTATAATCGAGGATAGCACTTGCCGACCTATCTTTATGACATTTGCTCTTCAAGCATTAAGAATTATAAGTAAGGAAAATGGAAGTATAATGGTAGAGTAAGCAAATGTTAGAGTACGGTACATGTAATGAATTCCAAAAAAGAAAAAAAAAACTATTTACTTAGTACTTGTTAAATACACGTACTTTAATCAAAAATCTGTAACTACAAATAACAAGTGTTAAGAAAGTAGAAATGCTAGAGTAAGAAATCTTAAGTAATGAAAAGTTTTAAAACATTATTAATTTAGTTAGTAAATATAATATGTATAAAGAGTATATTGTAAAAAAGCGATAAAGAAAGAAAAAAAAATAATAAAAAAAAAGAATAAAAAAAAAAACAGAAAAAAAAGATAAAGAAAAAAAAAATTATATAGAAAATAAAAAAAAATATATACTTAAGGATATTCTAGAATAATCTACTTAAGTAAGGATACACAAAAATTAGATGTAAAAACAGAAATAACATAATAGTAAGAAATCCTAAGTAATGTAAAGCTTTAAGATTATTAACATAGTTAATAAAAGTAATGTGTATAATGAAAAAAAAAACATGTATGCAAAGCAGAAAAAATAATATACCTAGCAATTCTAGAATATATTAATGTAATTGTAACGTATGTCAGAAATTTCAGTAAGAATATTATACAACAGTAAGTGTACTGAGTGAAGTAATGTATAAGATAAGAAGTATTGAGTAATATGTAGCTAAAAATTTAGAAATATAACAATAAGTGTACCAATGATAAACCAAACTGTAAGCAGTACGGAACAATAAAATAAAAAAAAAAATAAAAAAAAATATAAAAAATAAAAAAAAATAAAACAAAAACAGTATAATTAAAACAGTAGTTAAATGCTAGAAAGAAGGGTACTGCAGAAAAGTAGTAGTAAGATATAGTTAAAAAAAAAAAAAAAAAAAAACTTCGACCGAGAGGTCAATCGACGGATTCAACTCGGCTGGGCAGCGTTCGGGAAGCTACGACACATCTTCTCGTCAGACATACCTCAAAACCTGAAAACGAAATTGTACAACCAGTGCGTGTTGCCAGTGATGACTTATGGAACTGAGACGTGGTCCTTCACTGCTGGCCGTATGAGGAAGCTCAAGGTTGCTCAGCGAGCTATGGAGAGGGCTATGCTCGGAGTTTCTCTGTGTGATAAACTTAGGAATGAGGATATCCGCAGTAGAACAAGAGTAACCGACATAGCCCAACGGATTAGTAAGCTGAAGTGGCAGTGGGCCGGCCATATAGCTCGAAGAACCGACAACCGATGGGGAAGAAAGGTTCTCGAGTGGCAGCCTCGTACCGGTAGGCGAAGTGTAGGGCGTCCCCCCACGAGATGGAGTGACGACCTGGTAAGACATGCAGGAAGTCGATGGATGCAGGTGGCTCAGGACCGTGCTTTGTGGCATTCTTTGGGGGAGGCCTATGTTCAGCAGTGGACTAGTGAAGGGCTGTAATGATGATGATAATGATGAATCATTTCACTATTATGTTTCATTACTATCCACAGCTTTTTTGGTGATTTTGTACTGATCCTGCTTTTGTATCTTTAAGTAATTACAGTGAAAAATAGCCTGTTACAGTGTAATAACAGTGAAAAGTCACCTTTATATGTGGTAGAGCCATGCTGCAGCTGTATTAGTAGTATAGTTGTAACACGAATGGGTCGGTTCGACCTGGGAAGGACCACGCTCTCACAGAATACCAGCGTAAAGTAGCAGCTTAATGCTGCTGTGTTTCGTATGGTGAGTGTAGAGAACCGGAGACCCTTTATACTGGAAACGAGGCATTGCATCTTAGTCCTCATGGGTGACAACGCATCTGCATTTTGATTCGTAATCAAGGATAAATGTAGATGTCTATGGGCCACAGCAACCACTTACCATCAAGTGGATTGTGTGCTTGTTTGTCACCCTTATCCTATAAAAAAACAAAAAAAATAAATAAATACATAATGAAAAGGCCACAAATAAATTAATGAACTCACACAAATGCAGATACTTTGTTCTCGTTCAAGCTGACTGGCATGACATCGGCATATGTCTCATCCAAGGACAGTAGAACATTGACAGCTGTTTGTCCACTGTCAGTGAGTGCTAGCAGCCTGGGGAGGTCTCTATAACTGTCTGGACCCGCCACTGTATACAAATATAGCAATATTATATATAAATTTTCAGTAAATCTTGACCATGTTGAAAGGAATAGCTGACCTGAGCTTATGAGGTATAGATACATCCAGTACTTGCGTACTATGGTGGGGGTTATGGGGGTCAGGGGAAACCAGCTCCCAGTAGGTGACGTTTTGTTATATGCAATTTTTAGTAAGTGATTTTTTTATCATTATTAAATCCAGAAACATTATAAAAGGTTTAAGCTTAATCCTGACAAGCCTCCTCAATTAATTTCACTACATAAAAATTGCATATACCGAAAAGGGTCACCCGTAAAAAGTTAATTAATCGGACCCAGACTATCCATTTGTAGCTGAAGACTCATACACAACAAATTGAGTTACAATGGAAAACTATAGCCAACCCTTTTATGATGATTTTATGCAATATACAGCAGCAGTTCTATAGATTCCATCACCTCACTCCATTCCTTGGATGTATAAAAGGTGGCTACGGGTAATTCCAGAAATATTTTATAGCTTCCGACAGATTCCCTTAACTTATGAAACTATGTATAAGCAATAGCCCATAATTTATTATTTTTTTTTTTTTTTTTTTTTTTTTATAGGATAAGGGTGACAAACGAGCACACAGTCCACCTGATGGTAAGTGGTTGCTGCGGCCCATAGACATCTACATCTATCCTCTGTTACGAATCAAAATGGAGATGCGTTGTCACCCGTGAGGACTAAGATGGAACGCCTCATTTCCAGTAAAAAGGGCCTCCGGCCACCTGCACTCACCAAGCGAAACGCAGAAGTAAACCTCTACTTCACGCTGGTATATTTATTATAGTAATCGCATTGATAAAATATCAAGAGCTTGTCTTCTAATGTACATATACAAAAATTTAACTTAAAAAAAAATACTTCCCTTATATGATATATACTAATAGTTATTGTAATGGATGAGAACAAAAATTAATGACCATAAATCTCTTACATATTTACCAACATCTACAGCTTTTTCTTTCTCAATTAACTTTTCTTTCAAACGCTCGGCCATGCATCCCAATATACCAATCTTGACGGGCTTCTGTCTGTTCTTTGACAATGCTCGTCGTCTTTTAAATCCTCTTAAATGGTCTAATCGGTACCAAATCTTGCTTTCAGCACCTTCTCTTATTGCACATGTCATAACTAAAAATATATCAGCTTCCTCTTCTACTTCAGTTTTCTCAAACCCGTTTTTCTTCAAGATAGACCAGACAATTTCAGTGTCATTCAAATTCATTTGACATCCATATACATCAAAGAAAACTTTCCTCGTCTCTGCTATTTGGGGGTAATTTGTTAAATAAGGTATATTAGGTGGGTCCAAAACATACGGTTCTGTAATTTCAGATGATGCGATAATAAATTCTTTGAGCCCTGGACCATTCTTTAGCTTATCTTTTACATTTCGAGGTTTGTTAGAATTGCACCTACACAAGTATAAAGAAGAATTACGGTATAGATCTGTTAGCCATTTAGTCCGCTGAAAAAACAACATCCTTAAAATCAGACTATTTAATTTAATTAAATAATAAAAAACTAAACACTAAACAGAAACCTATACACAAACATAACCTTAATGCACAAACTATATAGAAACTTTCCTATATAAAAAAGTACTCTGTGATAGAAACACTACGCGTTCCTTAATGTTAATCACTAATGTTCCTTAAACATCGATAGACTATCGATTAATCGATAGTGTTTACACTATCGATTCTATCGATAGTCTAGTTAAACTACCGATTGCCATCCTTACCGTAATTTTTGTCTATAGTAGATGTCTCCCTTTAGTCTAAAGTCAAAGAAATCTCTGTGAATAAACTGTGTGTTAATAGCTAATTAATATACGTAATGCTGACCTTGACTTGAAGTCCTTCAGAAGCTCTTCCGTCCTCCATTACGTGACGAAATGAGCCGCGTTTACGTGCTGTTTTCGAGAGTCATAACGAATCGTCTCGCACGCAGACTTGACGACTTCCAGCCTCCCGAAAAATCCGGTTTCCGAAAGGGCTTTAACACCATAGACTACATACATACCCTTCGACAAATTGTACAGAAGTCCGAGGAGTACAATTTGCCACTATGTCTGGCGTATGTGGACTATAAGAAAGCCTTTGATTCCGTCGAAATTTGGGCGGTGCCGCAGTCCCTTCAGCGGTGCCAAGTTGACTGTCGGTATATCGAAGTGCTGAAGTGCTTGTACAGTACAACTACGATGGCTATCCGAGTACAGAACCAGAGTACGAAACCTATTCAATTGCAGAGAGGTGTAAGACAGGGTGACGTCATATCCCCGAAACTCTTCACCGCTGCATTGGAAGACGTTTCCAAGCTTCTGGACTGGAAAGGATACGGTATCAACATCAATGGCGAGTACATCACTCACCTTCGATTTGCCGACGATATAGTCCTTATGGCAGAATCGCTGGAGGACCTAAGCACCATGCTCAATGACCTCAATAGTGTCTCCCAACGAATAGGTCTTAGGATGAACATGGACAAAACAAAGATTATGTTTAATGTCCACGTAACACCTATGCCGGTAGTTGTTGGGAGCACTAAGCTCGAAGTTGTTGACGAGTATGTTTACCTGGGACAAATAGTCCGACTAGGTAAGTCCAACTTCGACCGAGAGGTCAATCGACGGATTCAAATCGGCTGGGCAGCGTTCGAGAAACTACGACACATCTTCTCGTCAGACATACCTAAAAACCTTAAAACGAAATTGTACAACTAGTGCGTGTTGCCAGTGATGACTTACGGATCTGAGACGTGGTCCTTCACTGCTGGCCGTAAGAGGAAGCTCAAGGTCACTCAGCGAGCTATGGAGAGGGCTATGCTCGGGGTTTCTCTGCGTGATAAACTTAGAAATGAATATATTTGCAGTAGAACCAGAGTAACCGACATAGCCCAACGGATTAGTAAGCTGAAGTGGCAGTGGGCCGGCCATATAGCTCGAAAAACCGACAACCGATGGGGAAGAAAGATTCTTGAGTGGCAGCCTCGTACCGGTAGGCGAAGTGTAGGGCTACCCCCCACGAGATGGAGTGACGACCTGGTACTTTGTGGCATTCCTTGGGGGAGGCCTATGTTCAGCAGTGGACTTATGAAAGGCTGTAATGATGATGCTGACCTAAGACGCTATTTTATTTGAGTGCCAGAACGGGCGGTTGATCTTGCGGTTTACAGTTTACTGATTTGTTTTGTATTTGACTTCATAATGAATCGAAATTTTATCCTAAAAATCAATCATTTATGTAGAATTATTTCTAGATAGTGGACAGTAATAGTCCGTATGTTAAGTGTACTTTTATCATCAGGAATATTAGCATTTAGGAAATACGACGAATCTAAGAGATCACTTGAAACTAAATCATGCCGATAAGATAGATAGTTTAGAATCGGAAGACGGATCATCCATCATCTGAACATCAAGTTTAGGATGAAGTGCAACCAAAAAAATCTAGAAGTTCTTTTAAGAATTATTTTAATAGGAATCAGTTGTTGAAGACTAAGGCTATTGTGAATTTCCTTCACAGTTCTGCACCAGCCAGTGACAAATTGCGTATTTCTCAAAGACGAGCAAACAAAATAGTACAATAACTACTTATTGTTATTTTTATTTGTGATACCTGCTCCAAGACAATCGATAGTCTATCGATATATCGATGTTCTTATAAGAAACTATCGATTACTATCGAATACTTCAACAATCGATGTTTAATGAACACTATTAATCACAGAACATTTTTTTTATAACTGGCTTTACGGCTCTGGGTTCTAGCCCTTCTGAGCCTGAAGTTTACAATTTATAATTATCCTTCATAGTACACTGCTTCACAATATGATGATGCGTCACATTGTGCAGCCCTCGGGAGATTTTGACTAGCTTGCTACATATATATTTATCTATGATTTTGACGGCAACTTGAGCCAGCAAACAGCTGACAGTTGGCAATGGTATCTCAAGGCACCTAAGCAGACACCTTATCTTGAGAATCACATCACCATCAGAGCACTTGTTTCACTGTTTCCAGTAATACTTCACATGCGTAGACACTTAATACACAAAATCACACCACTTTTACATATCAAAGTCCACTTCAAACCATTATTTAAACAATAATACAGGAGCAGCAAACCGCCGCCGGTCAAGTTCCCGCCAAAACTCAATCACAGAACACTATTACTTAGAGACACGCATAACTGTAGTCCTAGTCAGAGCCTTAAAGATGAAGCGTATATACTAGAACTGGGGATATTCACTTAACATCGATATATCGAATTTATTCGATGTTTTTCGTAAGATATATAGGATTGATTCGATGTTTTCACAAATATTTATTGTATTCGATATATCGATATATTTATTTAGAGAAACATCGAATATTAGCTTTTTTGTTAAATCTATTAAAAAACTAAATAATTTTAACACTACTTGATGACTTCAATTTTAAGAAAAGTTCAATAAGATAGTGACATCTATGAGTTCGATCGACCATTCACTCTCAATGTAGTCTGTGAATTCTATAGGTTCATTATATTTACTTTCATTCACTCACTCTCACTCTTCTTGCGTCGTCTTCTACTGTTTGGTGGTAAAGCAATTAAATCATTGTTTTGAATCATCTAATTTTATCTAAGACAAGTTTATGTAAGACTTTTATTTGCTTCTCTATAATTAATAGAATCAGGCGTTACTTTGCGGAAATCCATTATATAAAAGCTTTTACAACAATTTACTTCGCAAATATCCGCGTTATAAAATAAAATGATGTATCTTACCTAGTATGAAGAAGCACCTCCCGCCCTCCCTCAATTGCGTGCACTATCCCCGTCACCACTAATCCCAGCACCGCTACTCCCAACACCACTACACTAGGCAAGACACACCACTGACGATAATACGACACGTGTTTCGCCTCTACACGAGGCATCCTCAGGTGATATAGACTCTACGGTGGCTAACCGCTAAGTGAGCGGCGAGCCAAAACAAGTGCCTTTTATACAAGCCGATGACGCAACCGCTCTCTCCCTAAGAAGCGAGCGACTGCGTCATGCGATAAAACATGCGACCAATCACCGCTCAACTTACGCAGCCGTTTGTAAAATTAAAAACAAACCGCCGCGCAACGCCCACATTATTAGAGAGCAGGCTTGAAGATATTTAAGAGAGGTGAGTTAGTAACATTTGTTTGTTCATTCAGCAATGCAACGGTATTATTATTACTTTTTAATATCTCTAACTGTTCCAGCACACACAGTGTGCTGGAACAGTTCTATAATCTCTTTTTAATATCTCTAACTGTTCCAGCACACACAGTGTGCTGGAACAGTTAGAGATATTAAAAAGTAATAATAATACCGTTGCATTGCTGAATGAACAAACAAATGTTACTAACTCACCTCTCTTAAATATCTTCAAGCCTGCTCTCTAATAATGTGGGCGTTGCGCGGCGGTTTGTTTTTAATTTTACAAACGGCTGCGTAAGTTGAGCGGTGATTGGTCGCATGTTTTATCGCATGACGCAGTCGCTCGCTTCTTAGGGAGAGAGCGGTTGCGTCATCGGCTTGTATAAAAGGCACTTGTTTTGGCTCGCCGCTCACTTAGCGGTTAGCCACCGTAGAGTCTATATCACCTGAGGATGCCTCGTGTAGAGGCGAAACACGTGTCGTATTATCGTCAGTGGTGTGTCTTGCCTAGTGTAGTGGTGTTGGGAGTAGCGGTGCTGGGATTAGTGGTGACGGGGATAGTGCACGCAATTGAGGGAGGGCGGGAGGTGCTTCTTCATACTAGGTAAGATACATCATTTTATTTTATAACGCGGATATTTGCGAAGTAAATTGTTGTAAAAGCTTTTATATTTGCTTCTCTAGTCTATGATTCTACATTCACACATACAAAATCAAGGACTACAAACTTTGCGCGTTTCACTGGAAAAAAGTTTTATTAAACTTTTGTGGAAAGTATTCAATAGTGAAAAATATCGATGTTTTCTAGCGATATATCGATAAACATCGATGCTGGGATCCGATGTTTTACATCGAATAGAAATATTGATATATTATTTAAGTGGAAACCCCTAACTAGAACAGATCCAGGCACTAGGTATTAAACAAGACAAGGTTGCACCTGTTCCAACTTTTAAAATACTTGATCCATCTAGTCTTACTGCGCCTACGCGTCGCACGGCACCGGCGCTACGACCCGCTCGAATCGAAGAAGTACCGATGCGGCGAAGCGAGATAGCATTTTGTTGCCGTAGTTACTAGTCTGCCTTGCCGCTCACTTGTATTTGACTAAATTATTCGCGTGTAATCATTTGAATTTGAACTATATTTCAATATATATATAAAAGTAATGCGATGCGCACACGTGTTGTGCAAGAATATATTCTGTCCTTTTTAATTACACTATTTAGCAGTCTTTCTATCTTTGTCTGTCAATACTCGTGACTAGTCGGGACTAGCCCCGGGGACTTCAACCAAATACTAGGCAGATTTTATACACTAGGTACTTGTAAATACTCGATGCGAATGGATACCATATGATATAATGCAGTTGAAAAAATTTAACACTGATTTTTTTGTTTAATTGAAATCTTTTAATACATTTAACTGTAGCGCGGCGATACTTACCTATGTCACCCGATGTCTCACTGTCCCCTCTCGTACGATGCCCCGCCTGCGCCACGGGATCACGCCACTCGACCAAACCATTGACTGCCGGTACAAGCAGTACGCCAGCCAACTAGCTCCGAGGTATATGTGTATCATTGATTGATCCCGCGCTCGCGCTGCGTTTCGCGAGACGTTGTTTATGTGCTTACTTGTCAATAGATGCCTATACTGTTACTATTTATGTGAATAAACTGTGCATACGGATTATTTGTAACGTTTCATTTATCAACCGTGACCAGTGAACGTTATATTGGCTCCCAACGGTGGGCCACGAACGAACCTACGGTGGCTCTCGAAGTTTCTAGTGAAGACTCAGTCATAATGCCGCCGCGAAAACTGCGTAATAATACTCCAGTTCGGATGTGGAACCGGTGAATCCGACACCTGTGGCACCTATAAACCCGACATCTGCAGCACCTGTGCTTATGTCCAAGAATCATCTGTCGTCGCTTCTGGCCGCCTTTTTTGCGGCACAAGCAGAGGCAAACCAGAAGCTCATCCAGTCTCTTCTGACATCGCACTTAGGGGCGCCGCCGAATGTCGATTCGAGCGCTGCCGGCACGGCCACTGTCACGTCACTGCGGTCGTCATCTATCCCAGTGACATTCGTAAAATGCACTGCACGGTTCGACGGTTCGTCTCAAAACCCGGAAGCAGTGGAAGCATTCACTGACGCGGTGGAAATGTATAGGGATTGTGCATCAGTTAGTGATGAGATGGCACTTCGCGGTCTCCCTATGTTACTTTAAGGAGACGCAGCCGTGTGGTGGCGTGGAATTCGAAACGAAATACACTCGTGGTCGGGTGCTGTTAAACGCCTGCGCTCGATGTACGGAGTTCCGCGACCTGCATATAAGTTGTACCGAGACGTTTTTGCCGCCGAACAGGGATCGGAGCGTGCCGATATTATCGTCGTGAAGATAAGAGCTTTGTTGGCGAAACTATAATAATAATGATAATAAATAAATAATAAATAAAAATAAATTTTATTTCGTTTTTAAACAGTACATGCCTTAAAAACTAGTAGATTGGAACCTCCATTTAAGCAAATAATGCCTGTGCTTGGAGGGTCCGCCCTTCCATTACTATATCCATGTTACAAGGCAGTATGGATAAACATATTCTATATCCATATTAATGTTATATATTACTTAAATTCTATATTAATTCTATTCTTAGTTTATTTACTTATGTATACGTGTGTGTGTGTGTGTGTGTGTGTGTGTGTGTGTGTGTGTGTGTGTGTGTGTGTGTGTGTGTGTGGGTGTATGTGTGTTTGAATCTATGCTTGCGTGAGTTAAAAAGAGTGTGTGTGATTGCAGTGTCTGAATCTGAACAAATCATGCTACACGATCCAGTAGCTTCTCAGTTTCGTCATATATCTTATGATGAATCCATTTTAACAAAAGTTTTTTACAGTTGTGATATGTTTTGTCGTATATATAAATATCTTTGTTTATTTTATTATAAAGAAAGGCAGAACGCGATATAAATTGTCTGGTTGCAAATGTGGTTTTAGTTCTGTATATCTGGGCAACCATGTTTCTACGTCATTTATTTAAATGGCATGGATCATAAGACAATGATTTGTGAGTTTTGAGGGTTGTCCAGAATATATACAACTTCCTGACAGAGAGTAAACCGCTGATACTATATCGGTAGAAAAGCGTCTCTTCTTAAAGTACATAACTTTAATAAGAGAACGCTGCGCCCTCTCTAACTACAGAAATCGAGTTTTTGCTGCACCACCCCAGACAGGAATTCAGTAGGCCAAGACGGATTGAGCAAGAGCAATGTAGACTTGATTGAGGAGATAATTTAGTGAGTCCTCAACCGATTTGCCCAGCATTACATGTCTGAGGGTTTTGAAGATCCAAGTTAGATTCCTTATTCTATTGATGACATGATCAAGGTGTGGGTACAAAGATAGTCTTTGGTCTACAATTACTGCCAGATATTTTGTCTGAGCTACCTTATCAATTCTAGGGCAGTTACAGGTGTTTTTATTAGTATCCGTTGTACATTCATGAATTTTTATACTGAAGTCGGCCTGAGGTTGCGAGTTGTTGTTAGTACTAAAACATATATAGTTGGTTTTAAAAGTATTTAGGGTCGGGAGGTTGTGTTTCAGCCACTGAGCGATTCGCAACAGACCGGCCTCAGCACTAGTTTTGACCACCTCCCAAGAATCACCGGCAAATCTACAACTGTATCATCAGCGTATGACAAAACTCTGGCGTTATAGATCTTCATGCGATATAGGTCGTTGATGTAGATGAGAAAGAGGGTAGGTCCTAAAACGCTGCCCTGCGGCACGCCACACGTCACATCAACAGCTTCACTAGTGCAACCTTTGTCTCCTGTCCGTTAAGTAACTCTCAAAAAGGGCAAGCAGAGTCCCCCTTACTCCCATATCTTCAAGTTTATGCACAAGGATGGGGATGGAAACAGTATCAAAAGCTTTTTTCAGATCGAGGAAAACCGACAGACACTTTTTACTGTTGTCAAGTTGCCTAGTTACAAAAGAGCTTAACTCCGTGATTGCATCTTCTGTCGATTTTTCCCGCCTGAAACCAAATTGTGAAGATGATAATTTGTTAAATTTATTTAAGTAATTTAGTAGTCTAGTATTAAGTAGTTTCTCTAAGATTTTAGATATTGCTGGCAGAACCAAGATCGGCCTATAATTGGTAATATCTTCACCATCCCCACCCTTGTATACGGGTGTTATAATTGATTGTTTCAACGGTGTAGGAAACACGCCTTTGTAGAAACAAAGATTTACAAGGTGGGTAATAATGGGAGCCAAGTCATCAACCGCCAACATTAGAAATTTATTGGGAATATTATCCCATCCTGGGGCGCTGTTAGATTTTAGATGGAGGATAGTGCTACGAACTTCATCAACATGAGTATGCAGTAGTACAAAAGAATTGGGTTGTGTCGGTTTATTTTCTATAAGTGTTTTAGATGTCCTTGTATCGTGTTGAATGTTATTTGCAAGTTGTAATCCTATATTGGCGAAATAGTCATTAATAAAGTTAGCCGATTCAGAGGGCTAACTTTATTAATAGCTAACTAGCCTATGAGTTACCAGAGGAAGCGAGATTAGATATGATTTACGGGCTTCTACATAAGAGAATCAGAAAACGGTTGTCAAGAGATACTGTGAATGACATCGAATCTCTCATTGAAAGATCTCGAGCTATAGAAGAGTCGCTGTCGGAGAACGCTGCGCTGCCGCCGCTCGCACCGCCACAATCGTCGACGGCACCGCTGAGTGTACCCGCGAGACCCAGCCAAAGTCATGGCGAGAGAGCTCAGCATAGTACTTCGGATTCAAGTTCGACGGCGCCGCAACTGCGCGCCCCGACTCCGCTTCGCAGTCATCACGTGACCGCGCGCCTGTGCCGCGTAGTGATCAGTGTGTGAGCAAAAATAGTGATGGTAAGAGAAAGCTATTCTGTTTTTACTGCAAAACGCGAGGACACGTCCGTGACTTCAGTGATAAGTTAAGTAAAAGATCTCATTCTTCCAACTCAGGTATTGTTTGTTGTAATTGTGGCGAGAAAGGTCATATTAGAGTAGATTGCCCTAAATGTTTACAAAGTCGACCTTCTGTTGATAATGTTAAGGTTGAAAATGGATTTTCGTCCATCTTTGTTAGTAAATGTGACTCGAATTCGAAATACAATTGTAAGGAGCAAGGTCGGCCTATCGTACGAGTGAGTATAGGAGGATACTAGGGTACCGCGTTGTTAGATAACACCGCGAGTCGTAGTGTTGTGAGTTGTTGACTTTATGCGTTAATGAAACGTATCGGTTTAAACTTTCGTACCGAACTGTTGTCGGTAAAGCTTGCGGACGGTACTATTAGGAATAGTGAGGTGCTACTCACAGAGGCCAATGTTCAACTTGCTTCAAATATACCCATGGAGTTCATTATTTTACCGAATGCCGTTAATAACGATACTTTGTTAGGCATTAACTTTATAACAAAGGCTAGGATGATTATTAATTTTGATAAATGGAATTGGCGTACAGTTGGTCAGCCCCGGACATTTCACGCCTTGTCATGGGAAACTCGTTGCGAACCTGTTGAGTGCGCCGCTGCATTGAACGTGTTGCGAGAGGACGAGGCCACCGCGCTATCGGAGTCGGAGAGGTCTAGACTGGCGAACCTATTAGGTGAGTATTCTGACGTATTTGATGTTGTCGGAGAACCGACACCATTCGCCGAACAACATATAGATACCGGCGACCACCCACCGATTGCGGTGCCCTCGTATCAGGTCACGCCTGCGAAGAAGGAAATCATGCGAGCCGAGTTAGACAAGATGCTGGCTGATGGTGTGATTGAGGAGTGCGAATCATTGAAGTATAATGTACTTACGTACTAGAACAGATATTTCAAACAAAAACTGTGCGCAACGACATAGAGTACGTTGCGCATGTGTCGTAAACAGTCTTACCGCGCATGCGCGGTTTTTAATCATAATAGATTATGCGTAGGGAGAATGATCAGTAGGTATTTAATTATTGGTTATTTAGAGTACATATATTGTTAATTAATTTATTAAAACGAGTTCAATTTCTACCTTTTCAAAAAAAAAACTTTAAAAACTTCTACCTTTTCTGTTTACACATCAATTATACGTATACTCAGTTATTTGTTGTCTTTTTGCTGAAAATTAATTTCAATTAATAAAATGTATAAAGTTATTGTAAAAATATATATTAGGAATTAAATTAAGTGTTTTTAAACAATATAAGTTTTGTTAATTTTTGCCGTTTAGATGAATAGTTTTTATCTTGATCAGATTTTGCTTCATGTTTTAAACGAATATTTGCGTATTTATTTATGATGTCCCGAATCAAATGAATCCTGTGATTGAAAGTACTTGGCTGATTAAATGAATGTTTTATTAAGGATGTACATACCTCTTTTTCTATGAAAATTTCTAAAGTTTTAACAGTAATGAAATTGAAATTATATTTTATTTTTTGTCTTATAAGTTTTCGTATCACTGTTTCCGTGGTCAAGCATATTTTATAGACATCGTCAGTAGAGTAGCATAACACATAACCAAACATAATCGATGTTACTCTCGGCTATTCCATGCAGAGGAAATTTCTTTCTCAAGCATTTTATAATACTTGTTAAAGATTAACATTTCTTCTTTAAATTTCTATTTTGCCGCTGAATTTTTTTAAATTTTTTGTGTAATTTATTCTTAACCATAGTGACGTTTTGCAGTTTTCGTTTCAAGATAATTTTCCTAGGACTGTCGAAAACCGATTCTGTGTCGCTCACAGGTACAGATATCGGGTCCATTGCTTCTGCATTTATTGATTGCGTTGAATCATCATTACCCCTAGGCTAAAAAAATCCGAATTAATCGACTAAACAAAATTGAAAGTATTTTAGTTACTTAGTTATTTTAGTATTTTAAAACAGTATGATTCATTTTAAAATTACTTTTTATCTGTACTTTTCCAATGTTACGTTAATTTACATAACAAACATTCATTACTTACATCTATACAAGGTACTGCAGACTTTTTCAGAAAATTTCTCCCTTTCTTCGTACTATATTTATCCTCTTCCTTAAAATGCAAGGAAGAAATGTATGTGTGGTTTGTTGGTAACCACATCTCTTCTCTTCGATTATTTTGAATGAATTTAATCCACTTTTCTCGATTTTCGGGGCTTGGAGGTGGAAACCTAAAAATAAAATAAAAGAATAATCAGCAAATATAAACGTAAGAAATTTAGCCTAATTATAAATACTTTATTTATTTCTACAAAAAAATTGTGCATAATATAATCGTCCTACACTTGCTCACAGAAATGTCGTATCTGAACAAATTAATTTCATAATCTATATTCCATGACACAAGTTGGCGCCAATGAAATTTTTTTAATTATTAATCTATAATGTTTTTTATTATTTAAGTATCTTACTTACCGGTGAAATGTGATTGCTTGGTTTTTACTAACATTTCGTAAATTTTTGTGCAATATCTAAGAATACAACCCGGCATATTTTATCAAGAGATATTTTTTTAAATCAACACAGCACGTGACAACTCTACAAGCGCCTAGCGAGTGACTGATTAAAGTGCGGTGACATTACCGCAGTTGAATGGAACAGCGTAACTTAGTGCAGTGTCGCCTCTAGTACGTAGTACATAATATCTCAATGGTGCAAATCCGCCTGGGCCGGCCATGCGTCCTGGTACCAAAGTCTAATGGCACCTATAGGTTTTGTGTAGACTATCGCAAGCTAAATGCGGTTACTAAGACAGACGCATATCCCATGCCGCGTATCGACGAGCTGTTACGGTCGACCAAGAAGGGCTGTGTGATGAGCTCGCTAGACCTCCGTAGTGGGTATTGGCAGGTCAGTACTGCGGATAGGGATAAAACTGCCTTCGTAACACCTTTTGAGACCTACCGCTTCACGCGTATGCCTTTCGGCCTCAAAGGGACTCCGGCAACGTTTCAGCGACTCATAGATCACTTCCGGTCTGGACCTTCACTTGGTAGTAGGCATATTCTAGGTTATCTTGATGACCTATTGGTAATTTCAGAGGACTTTGAGTCCCATTTGTCTGATTTACGAGCGTCTTCAGATATTCAAGTTAAGAGCCAACCGTGAAAAGTGCGTGTTCGCCAGGGACCGGCTCAAATACCTAGGTCACGTGATATCCAACGATGGTATATCTCCAGACGAAGATAAGGTGCGTGCTGTCCTAGAGATGAAAGAACCGATCAATCTCCAACAACTTCGTACCTTCCTGCAAACTTGCTTGCGTTTGCGAAGGTAGCTGAGCCGCTTATGCGCCTTAACAAAAAGTCACAGATCTCGCAATTGGGAGATGATCAGGCCAAAGCTTTCGTACATCTTAAGTCCCTTCTGGCTTCACCACCCATTCTTGTTCAGCCAGACTACTCGATGCCATTCATCCTTAGGACGGACGCCATTTTTGGCCTAGGCGCAGCTTTACTCCAGGGGGAGTCTCCACAAGATGAACCCCCAATCGAGTACGCGAGCCATCCCCTCACGTCAGCCGAGAAAAATTATACCACTACGGAGCGGGAGGCACTAGCAGTTGTTTGGGCCGTGGAAAGATTCTGTGGGTATATTGATGGTCACCAGGTAGTGGTCAGAAGTGATCATCAACCTCTGAAGTGGTTGTTTTCTCTAAAATCGCCTAGTGGTAGGCTTGTTCGTTGGGCTTTAAATCTACAATCCTTTGGTCTTCAAATAGAATACACTCCTGGGAAGGCTCATGTGCTAGCCGACACACTCAGACGTCCAGTCATCGATAGCACTTTGACGGAATGTGGTGCAGACATCCACAGACACGGGGCAGACCCCCGTGTCTGTGGATGTTCCACGTTGGGATGCTACATCAACCCGTGAAGCCCAGCTGGCTGTTCCAGAAGTAGCCAAAATCCTTAAGGACTTCTGGAGCTGTCTTAAGGAGCTGTCAGTTCATCGGTGGTCGGAGAGGGGATACCTGGTAAGCCAAGGTGTTTTGTACCGGTACGTGGACGACACCGATACTGAGGAGCCTCAGCTGGTAGTACCTGAGAGTTTGTTGGGCAAAGTTGTGTTTGAGTGTCATGACTCGCCAACCGCCGCTCATGGAGGTATTCAACGGACTTTGCATCGTATATCTCAGCTGTTCTATTTCCCTGGTTTGAGACGCTATATCACCGATTACCTGAAGACTTGCACTGAGTGTCAGCGGTATAAGTCTTCCAACTTGAAACCGCCTGGCTTACTCCAGACTCCGGTACCGGCTCAATGATTAGAGGTTCTCGAATCGTTGAGCCGGTCTCTTTGGACCGTTACCCAAGGGACCTAAGGGTGAAAGGTGGATTTTGATAGTGAAAGACACTGCTAGTAAGTGCGTCGAACTGTTCGCTCTAACCGAGGCCACAGCCGAAACCTGTGCGAAAACTCTTGTTAGTGAAATCTTTATGAGATATGGACTTCCTAGGCGAATGATCTCCGATAACGATGTCCAGTTTGTGGCCGATGTTATGCAAAAGGCCCTGTTTGTCCTAGGTGTGAAACAGAACCTGGTGCCTTTGTATCACCCGGAAGCGAATCCGGTATAAGGAAAGAATCGGGACCTTAAAGCTTTCCTCGCCATTCTCGTTGAGGGTAACCATAGGCAATGGTCTGAGGTATTACCTTTCGTCCGATTTGCTCTTAATAGTTCAGTCACCGTCTCTACAGGCACCACTCCGGCTTTCTTGACATTTGGGCGTGAGCTCCGTTCTCCTTTGTCGGTTCAGGCTGATCTACGGGCAGTCATAAAATCTGAAAACTTAGTCCATCAGATTACGCCTTACCTTTTGAAGCAGGCTGACTCTCTATCAGAAGCTAAGGAGAACATTGAACATCAACAGGATCTTCGGAAGCTCCAAGCCGATTCCGATCGCCGTGATTCGGATCCATTAGGAGAAGTTGACCTCGTACGCATGAAGTCACATGTCCTGAGTAATGCTGCTAAGGGTGTTACTTCTAAATTCATCCCGAAGCAGGATGGTCCGTATGTGATCTCCAAAAAGGTGAGTCCAACTACCTACCTTCTAACTTCGCAGAAGACTGGTGAAGTCGTTGGTAAGTATCATTTGTCGGATCTGCGTAAATACCATGACAGGGGTGGTGAAGAATGCCCGTAGCCGGTTGCTCCTAAGCGTCGCAGGGGTTGTTCTCGTAAGGATCGCAGCTAGCCGCTAACTATTAGTTTGACCATTCGTGACGTTCCCTTTTGGTCAAAAGGGGTAGTATGTAGCGCGCCGATACTTACCTGTGTCACCCGATGTCTCACTATCCCCTCTCGTACGATGCCCCGCCTGCGCCATGGGATCACGCCACTCGACCAAACCATTGACTGCCGGCACAAGCAGTACGCTAGCCGACTAGTTCCGAGGTATATGTGTATCATTAATTCATCCCGCGCTCGCGATGCGTTTCGCGAGACGTTGTTTATGTACTTACTTGTAAATAGATGCCTATACTGTTACTATTTAAGTGAAAAAACTGTGCATTCGGATTATTTGTAACGTTCCATTTATCAAGCGTGACCAGTGAACGTTATAAAACTAATTTTAAGAATTTTATCGCGTATATTAACTTATTTTATATTCCCGACGTTTCAAGCAGGTCACGGGGGGGACTGAGGCTGAGGTATATACTTCTAAGTCAGTGGGACTGAGGTGTATGACGTCCCAATGTCATAGTTAACCACGGCTACCTCCAGATTAAAAATTATTAATTTTTGTTCCAATCTACGCAGTATGAACTTACAGTATCTTGAAGTCTTACAGCTGTATGCTTGGGTTGGGATTTAGTTTTATTAATAATGGGATCCCAAGCAGATAGCACCCAGCCATCTTCTCTATTGAAATGAGGATGTTTTTTGATTTCAGTAGCCTCGTGAATCATCCTCGGAAGGAATCGGTGTTCCTTAGCGAGGATTTGTTGTCTATCAAATCTAATGTAGTGACGGGGGCGATCCTGTACGTGTTTACAGACTGCAGACTTCCCGGAGCGTCGATTCTTCACATCAGCTATGTGTTCTTTAACGCGGGTTTTTATGGATCTTTTAGTTTGTCCTATATAAAAGAGACCGCATTCACAATCAAGCTTGTACACTCCTGCATCTTGCAGGGGCACATTACACTTGACTGATGTTAAAAACTGACTAATCTTCTTCAGCGGCTTGAAGTATATTTTAATGGAAGCACTACTAAAACTTCTTGTACCTACACTTTTTTACGCTCTATATATCAACTTTTCCCCTGGGCCTGCGGCTGGCGATACCCTTGCTATATTTTCATATCATATTTAATATTTTAACCTAGGTTTTGATGTTTTAACTCTGATGATTGCGCGGTATCAAATTATAAATAATAAAGACAAAAGTATAGTTCTGGAAGAAGTACTGTTTATAGTCGTACATGTGGTTCTCAACCTAATAAAGAAATATTTTTGTGTTTATTTTTACTTGAGGTCATTGACATAAATTAATAGCAAAGCCCGAGGGTTGAGGATCAATATAATAATAGTAAACATACGATAGACTGTATGGGTATAAATACCTTTGTCTTTTAAGTAGTTTAAAAAAGTTATCTCAAATCTCAATTAGTCTGTGATCTCAATGGTAGATTTCGTGGATTTCGGATTTTGATTTGACAATTGACCGATTACGATTTTTTTCCTTAAAGTTTTTCCGATAACCGACTTAAACTTGTATAATTTTTATCTGTTCCGAAGAAAAGAGATGATTATTATAAAATCGTAACTTACGCGTAGAATTCTTAAAGAAAAATCGAGTAGTTATACAAGAAAAACAATCATGAGTGATCGCTACAGCAAAGGTATTCGAATGACGTAAAATATAATTATTCCTCCCCTCGTCCTCAAAAGCTTCGAAGGAATTGTCCACTAGATCTATTTTTTTTATTAAAATATATATATTTTATTTATCTTTGCCAGTGTTTTCGCATTGGCAGGGTCCTCTCGATCCACGCGTGATGATTCTAGGACGCACAAGGGAAGGCGACGGTCTAGATCGAGATCGCGTTCGCCGAATCGAAAGCACTCTCCACCAGCTGGACGTTGGGATTCACGAGAAACAAGTTCCAGAAGCCGCGACTTACAACATCGAGGTAATGATATATTTTTAAAGTTATTGTTATAAATCATCTTTCACTGCTTGTATGCAGACTTAGAAGTGAAACCTTTTACACACTGTTTTTTATTTTGTATTATAGGGAAAGTTTCAATTGTCTATCAATGATTTTTGAATAGCATAAATTATGTATATCATTAATTTATTTACATAAAATTGTAGACATAAATCTGTCACACTGCATCATCTTCTTCAGTTTTAAGAAGCGAAATTATTGGTTTAGTTTGATAATTAGGTAATTATCTATTATTTATGTAACTTTATTTTAATTAAACCAAAGTTTTATTTATTTAAATTGTTATTTAAAATAAACGCTGCTCTGCCTCATTGGGCTTCAAATTACTTCCATATTCATTATTTTAATAGCACCATCTACTTCATTCTATAAGTAAAGTCATTTTATAGAACCAAAATTGATTAACTCTCATGGTGGTACGTAGAAAAGATGCTAGATGGCTTCAACACAAAAAAAAATATTATTATGTTTGTCCAATCCATTCATAGCAATCCATGATTTCAAAACTTACCGATTTATATTAATTTTTTTGGGGTTTATGCCATCTAGCATCTACATCAAAGGGAAATAACAAACACATCATACTAAGCGGACATCATAAAAAGCATTTTGTACAAAATGAACAATCTCCTGTTTCTGTTAGTATGTATTTATTTTAATAGAGAGAAACAAAATAGAGATAAATCAAAATAAAAAGTATGTAATAAGTACATATGTAATGCATTTTTTCATTTTTACATAAGAAATCAGTAATGCTTGTTTGCTTTTGTTTTTTCCTTACTTCCCTTGCGAGTGATGAGTTGGATTCTCCATTTTCTAATCTGTATATTATTGCACCTTTCTCCTCAATCATAAATGCTTTACGACAATGTTGAGATGTCTTTTTTTTTCACAAATCACTAACAAACAATGCGTGACCTTCAACTATCAATTACTCACTGAGACTCAAAACAAAAAAAGGCATGCACGCAGCGAACGTCGTTGGGTGTCACGTAGCTCTCCTGAACACTGCGGAAGGTGTTAGAAATCATGTCAGTCACTATAACTGGACACAATTTATAAAAATGGGTCACAATAAGTGACATGTCACTAAGCGCAGTCATTATATCCGAATTTGTTATATAGAATTTTATATGAAAACCAAACTACTGTGTAATTACTTCATAATAAGCGGTTGGTCAATATAGGCGGAGTCATAATAAACGGATTCTACTGTAGTAGATGATGCTATTACTCTTACTCAAATGTGATCACTCTTTCTAAAATAAATATGTGTACCTTGGGACCTAACTGTCTTAAATAAAATTAATATAAGATTAGTATTTGAGTGAAAGACCTTTGTAATCTTGTTAATTTTATTATTCTTGTTAATAAATTCTTGTTAATTGTATTATTATATACTTTATGGTATGTAAAGGTCTGCGTTCACGATTTGAATGATTGACCAGAATGACCCAGTGTGTAGCGTTTACCCCCATCACTTGTCATCCCACAAAAAGGTTGCGGATCAGAATTTCAAAGCCCTCCCATAAAAAGTTTCACTTAAAAATACTATGCCATGGAATGGAAAATTTCGGTGTAGGTGGCTTTAAATCAATTACACAATCTGTTATTAGTATGGTATAATCTTTTTTTTAAATATACTGAAAAACAGTTCTTATGCAAAATGCAAATCGCAGAACTCCTTATAGCATCCACACCATCTGGATGATTGGCGGTCTACCACTGTGCGATTTAGAAGATGTTTTCTTCCTCGCACAACTTTCCTGTGGAATCGATTACCACCAGCGATTTTTCTGGACCGATATATCGATATGACTTAGGGACCTTCAAGAAAAGAGCTTACCCGTTTTTAAAAGGCCAGCAACGCATCTGCAATTCCCCTGTTGTTGCAGTTGTTCATGGGCATAGTAGTCACTTACCATTAGGTGAGCAGGTCAGCCGCATGCAAGTTTGCCTCCTCTCCTATAAAAAAAATCAGAGTTTTTGTCACCTTGCAGTGCTAATTATCTGCGCTTACAGCTGTTCAATTATGGGACACTATTTTCACAATAGATTTCATAGACATAACACGTGTTTGTGGCTTAAAAAATAAATGATACTATTGGCCTTTGTGGGCTATGGCAATATCTAAACAGCTTTTTAAAATATTTTAAAATGTCTATTAAGAAGGGATTTCGGCTTTCCAAAAATTACTACAACACATAAACACATGATAACTTGTTAATTTAAAGTAAAAAAACCGACTTCCAAATTGCTTAGAAGTTATTTATTTGCTACTCTTAGGAGTGGAATTTTTTTTACAAATTTATATGTGATCACCCTTGAAGTATAACCTATTTAATAAAAAGAGAATCATCAAAATGGGTTCATAATCTGTGAAGATATCGAGTAACATACATCCAAAGAAACACTGGAATTGAGAATGTCTTCAGTTATGAAGTCTGTTAAAAAATCAAACAGTCTTACCCACAGGCTTTAACTAAATTGTTTTTAATTCTAAGAAAACTCATTTCACTTATTTTTATTTTAGACAAAAAAAGAGATTCCGTTGATGATTGGGATGACTCTGATGAAGAAGTACCCCCGCCACCACCTCCACCTCGCATCAGCAAAATCTCTATTGGATTTAGTAAACCCAAAGCGCCCATCAAAATGACGTTGGGTGGACCAGCAAAAGCATCTATAAATCCAAAACCCACAGTTGCATCAGTTTTCAATGCTGATGATGATGATGAAGAACCTGAGGAAATGCCAGCAGAAGCACGTATGAGAATGAGGAATATTGGGAGGTAGTTAAAATATTTGGTATTTATTTCAAACTTAATTAATACTTTTTCATATCTTTTTAGATTTTAGTGTCACATAACAACCAATTTCAGACAATGAATTTATTAAATTTATTTCAATAATTTACTAGCTGATCTGGCAAACGTTGTTTTGTCATATACATTATTTCTAGGAAATATTTTTTAGTTTTAGAAATTGCAATTAAAAAACAGGGATTCATTGTAGAAGGGTGAAAATTTGAAGTTTTGTGTATTTTTTAATGCTAAATCATAATAAAATTAAAATTAAATATATATATACCTGATATGCAAACAAAATTTCATACAAATCCGTTTCGGAAGAGTTTGGTAACAAAAACCGCGACACGAGAATTTTATATATTAGATTTATTACGAAAACAGATACAGCATCATAACAGTTCAAGACCAAGACAATGACATACAAAAAAACTGATAGATATAATTATTTACTTATAAAAAATAAATACATAAACACTCACGCATGTAACCTAGAGGGGCAGGCAGAGACTACAGACTGCCATTTGGCAAGATCCTGATGCACCTCTCTTGCTTCCTGTACATTCATATACTTACCTACATAACTTTCGGCTATTGTGTTCCTTTGCAAATATGCCGTTCACTTCTGCAACATATATTTGCTGTGTCACACTTTCCTCATTCATTTTCTCTATGTGACTTAACCACCAAAGCATTCCTTTCTTAATCCTGGTCACAGCATCATCTTGCAAACTACACTTTTCTCTTATCACAAAATTTCTCACCCTGTCATTCAGATTCAGCCCCAACACACTCTTTAATTACTGCATTTTTACAGCATTTATTTATAAATCATTCTTGCTTCTTCTGCCATACCCAACTTTCACTACCATACATTAAGGTACGAAATAACACAGCATTGTGAATAGTGCCATATATGCCTTTTTTAACACGAGCAGAAATGTAGCATCGCTTTGCATTTTCTTTTGCATCTACTATGGGGAGTGCTCTGAGGAATTGTTCGGATTAGTCTCAGGCGCCAAATTTCACGAACTCACATCGCGACAAAACTCCCAATACCCCATCCATACTATCTGGATGCTTGGCGGTCAACCACTGTACGTTTCAGGAAGTTTCTTCCGCGTATGACCTCTCTGTGGAATAATTTACCACCAGCGATTTTTCCGTACCGATACGACTTAGGAACCTTCTAAAAAAGAGCTTACTCTTTTCTAAAAGGCTAGCAACGCACCTGCAATTCCTCTGGTGTTGCAGTTGTTCATGGGCGGCGGTAGTCACTTACCATCAAGTGAGCCGTGCATTTGGCCCCTCCTATAAAAAACATTCTGACTTCTCACAATAGTGTAGAACCCTATTTCCTGCATCGTTCTATATTGTTTTCATATCTACCATATACTTGTTCTTGTACTTTACTCTTGTCTTGTATATACTTGTTCAACTAACTCCCCTTCTATTCTTATTTCACATATCATTTTACTTTCTTCACTTTCTTTCATTCCCCTTTCTTTTAATGACTTATTCATTAATGTAACCATAATTTGTAACTCGGCCGCTGACGACGCAAATACGACTTGATCATCGGTGTACAAAAGGCATTTGACGGTTAACTCATTCATCATTCTTAACCCTACTTCTGCAACGTTGAAAGTTTCCAAATAACTGTCCATAAATAAGTTTAGCAGTGGTAGAGCTAAGCGGTAGCTTTTGCTGTCGCACGGATGGATGGGCCAGCTCGAACCGGAGTGGTACCACGACCTCACAGAATACCAGCGTGAAGTAGAATAGAGTTTACCTCTGCGTTGCGCTTGGTGAGTGCAGGTGGCCGGTGGCCCAATCCCCCCCCCCCCCCAATCAACATGGTAGTGGAATTAAATAAAAGACTACCCCAGGAGGGTACCAGCACCACTGGAGAATCCCTCGCTGAACATCCACGACCAAACTACTTCACTCCTGAGCGTGGGTGCTCAGGCTGCCCCGCGTATTCTTGGGGAGGGGGGGGTCAAATTCCGCTCGCGACTAATGCTGCTCGGGGCAAGCGGAGCAATACAACCAAGGCGACCCCTGTCACGCTATCCGTGAATTTTTGCAACATCAGGGGACTTCATTCCAACCTTACGCTGTCCATTACCATCTAGAGACGGCGAAGCCGGCCTTGCTCTTTTTAACCGAGACTCAGGTGTCCTCTCCGGCTGATACTTCATATCTCTCCTACCCGGGGTACAAATTGGAACACTCCTTTGTGCCCCGGGCTGGAGTTTGCGTATACGTCAGAGAGGACATCTGTTTTCGACGCCTCGGCAGTCTTGAAGGTACGGACCTGTCCATCCTATGGCTGCGCGTAGACAGCGACGACCATCCCCGCGTCTGGTCGGGTGCCTCTATAGGTCCCATAGCGGTAATGCCGACACAGACCGACTCATCGACCACGTCCAAATGGCTGCAGACTCCGTGCTACAAAAGGTCCCATCCGCAGAGATCGTGATACTTGGTGATTTTAACGCCCACCACGCTGAATGGCTTGGTTCTCGTTTAACCGATCATGCGGGTAGATCTGTCTATGACTTTGCTTTGGCATATGGTCTAACACAACTGGTTACTTCGCCTACGCGGATCCCAGATGTGGAAGACCATGTTCCCTGTTGGACCTTCTGCTGACCTCTCATCCGGACGGATATCAGGTCTCCGTCGATGCCCCTCTGGGCTATTCGGACCATTGTCTGATCCGGAGTACGGTGCCACTCACGCTCCAATCGCAGTTGCGATCTGCAGCTTGCCGCCGTGTTTGGCACTATAGGTCAGCTGATTGGGACGGGATGCGGTCTTTTTTTGCATCGTACCCTTGGGTTTGCTTCTCGCCGGAAGATCCCAGCGTTGTTGCCGATTCTGTTGCTGATGTGGTACTTCAGGGTATGGAACTTTTTATTCCATCCTCTGTGGTGCCCATCGGAGGCAGATCCCAGCCATGGTTTGGTCGCTTCTGTAAAATAGCATAGCGCTATAAGCAGGAGTGCTACCGGGCCTGGGCTGACGCATCAACGTCTCGGGATGTAAACACCAGCGCACTTAAAAAGAAGTATGATTCCGCCTCCAGGTCCTTCCAAAGCGTCATTGCCAAGGCAAGGTCTGAGCACATCGGCAGAATTGGCGAGAAGCTAGATCGCCTTCCTTCGGGAACCCGTGCATTCTGGTCTCTCGCCAAGGCTGTCCAAGGGAACTTCTGTCAGCCATCTCTTCCATCTCTGCACAGGGAGGACGACTCACTGGCCCATGCCGCAAAGGAGAAAGCCAATCTGTTGAGCTCCCTTTTTGCGTCCAACTCGACTCTAGATGACGGGGGAACACACCGCCGACCATCCCGCGATGTGAGTGCTCCATGCCGGATGTGCGGTTCACACAGCGCTCGGTTCGCAAAGCACTTCTCCCTGGACGTCAGCAAGTCGAGTGGGCCCGATGGAGTCCCTCCCATTGTGCTGAAGACGTGTGCTCCGGAGTTGGCACCGGTTTTAACGCGTCTTTTCCGATAATCCTACTCCCAAGGCGTAGTCCCGAATTCATGGAAGACAGCTTTGGTCCACCCGATCCCTAAAAAAGGCGACCGCTCAGACCCGTCCAACTACAGGCCTATTGCCATCACCTCCTTGTTCTCCAAAATAATGGAATCCATTATAAACTGCCAGCTCATGAGGTACCTTGAGGATCACCAGCTGATTAGTGACCGCCAGTACGGTTTTCGTCGAGGTCGATCAGCTGGTGATCTTTTAGTCTATCTGACTCATAGATGGTCGGAGGCAGTAGAGTCCAAAGGGGAGGCATTGGCCGTTAGTTTGGACATAGCGAAGGCCTTCGATCGGGTCTGGCACAAAGCGCTTCTTTCGAAGCTTCCTTCCTATGGGCTTCCCGAGAAATTGTGCAAATGGATCACCAGTTTCCTTGCTGATCGGAGCATCAAGGTCGTAGTAGACGGTGCATGCTCTGATTTCAAGCCTATCAACGCTGGTGTTCCACAAGGCTGCGTGCCATCACCAACGCTGTTTCTCCTGCATATCAATGATATGTTCCTAACTAGTAGCATTCATTGCTATGCAGACGACAGCACTGGTGATGCCTTATATACCGGCCGTGCCAATATTTCTCGGGAAAACGTCGCTGAGTACCGGGACAAACTTGTGTCTGAAGTCGAGTCTTTGCTTAACAAAGTCTCGGATTGGGGCCGACTAAATCTAGTCCAGTTCAATCCCCAGAAGACACAAGTTTGGGCGTTTACCGCTATAAAGGACCCCTTTGTCGTATCTCCTCAGTTTCAAGGCACTCCCCTTGCTGCCTCAGCTAGCATCAGAATCCTCGGCGTCGACATATCGAATAGTGTGCAGTTTCGTGGTCACTTGGAAGGGAAGACCAAATTGGCCTCTAAAAAGCTTGGCGTGCTCAGCAGAGCGAGACAGTATTTCATGCCGGCACATCGCTTGCAACTTTACAAAGCGCAAGTTCGGCCCCACATGGAATACTGTTCTCATCTCTGGGCCGGGGCACCCCAGTGCCAGCTACTTCCACTTGACCGCATCCAGCGCAGAGCGGTTCGAATCATCGACGACCGAGTTCTTTCTGATCGGCTCGATACACTGGCACTGCGTAGAGATGTTGCATTTCTTTGCGTATTTTATCGCATCTATCACGGGGAGTGCTCTGAGGAATTGTTCGGACTAATTCCAGCCGCTCAATTTCACCATCGCACATCGCGACAAAACTCGCGTTACCATCCATGCCATCTGGATGATTGGCGGTCCAACACTGTGCGATTTAAAAGAAGTTTTCTCCCTCGCACAACTTCCTTGTGGAATCAATTACCACCAGCGAATTTTCCGGACCGATACGACTTAAGAACCTTCAAGAAAAGAGCTTACACCTTTCTAAAAGGCCGGCAACGCATCTGCAATTCCCTTGGTGTTGCGGTTGTTCATGGGTGGCGGTAGTCACTTACCATCAGGTGAGCCGCATGCTCGTTTGCCCCCTCTTCTACAAAAAAAAAAAGAACAGCCACGGGGAAACCACACAGCCCTGTCTGACACCTATATGGTTGCCAAACAAGTCCGAGTAGGCACAAACAGCTGCAACGCCTCCATTTGCAAAGTGCGACGTCACACCCAGCTGGCTGTTACCTACCATGCCGATCGCGAAGAACGTCAGGTACATCTGAGAGGATAGGCCGTACTCCTTTAAATAAAGAAACCACGTGAATTCATTTTTAATTATTTAACACGTTTTTATCAAGTTAGACAAACAATGTCTGTCATTCGGGGTAGAATTTAGTAATTAATTTTAAATTAACTTCCCTTTGAGCTCCACACTTGAAATTTTGCATAAATAGCTCAAATCCGGATGACAATGCAAGAATATGATAAAAAAATGTGGTGAATAATTTCACTTGTTCCACCTTGTTGATATATTTATCTTCATAAGGATTTCAATTCAGATCATATATTTTAATTACAGATTTATTATGAAATGCTACAGATGAAATATCTCACAGCATGTAATTACACTGCTTCCCTAATCCCTTACACTGAAACACGGCAGTGGATGTGTAACCAGCCGGAAAGGATTTGTAGCACCTTGTTCACCATGATTAAATTTCTCCAGGAGTATCATCATCAATCATTTGAATTTTCAATTGTGTTGTGTGGAACTATCTATTTTTGTGTAGCTTGTGCAAACTGCCTGTAATGATTAAACATCAACTTTGCTATTTGTAATTAGTTATTTTGTACCGGACTCTGACCCATTTCACAGTTGCAGCGCTAAGGGCCGCGGGTTCGAATCCCGCACAGAACAAGTATTTGTATGGCCTACAAATAATTTTTCTGGGTCTGGATGTTTGACCTTGTGAAATCTATGTATGTAAACTGCTCCCGCGATACAGGAGAAAATCCTAGTGCAGAGGTAACGTTTTATTTGCTTAAAAAAAAATTGACGCAAAAGAAAAGAAACATGCAGGTTTTCGCACAATATGTTCATTGACCATCAAGAGTTGTGTAAATCAGGATTAGCATTAGGCCACCGAGGATAGAAATGGTGACATAAAATGTTAATGCAATATTAATTCACAGAGAAACACCAACATCGGCTGGTCCAAACTCCTTCGGTAAAACCAAACAAGGTTTTTGTGATGCCAAGAAGGTATTCGAGAAGAATCTGAAACATGCTTTAGAATCAGTGGACAGGCCAACAATGTCAAAACTGCCTCAAACAATATACAAGATCAAGGGGCCATGATGTTTCTTGCGATTTTATTTTATGTAGATTTTTGATCTGTAGTATTTTAGCTGTAACCATTCATAGCATGACACATTTAGAATGTGTGAGAAATACATCGATGTGTATAATTATGTTAATAATGTATTTTTCAGATATGAAAATTTGAAATACTTATGTAATACTAAATAAATATTATGTTTTTTATTGATTAATAAGTAACTTGATATCTACATTATTTTCTTTTCACTTATTTTTTTATATAATTCTGTCACTAAAACTTGTTTATTATATAAGTACTATTCTATATTGTTTTGTTAAGTAAGAGTAGTCTGAAAGGAGAAACAGAGGGATGCTGAAATGTTTAATCAGTTTGTCATATTATTTTGTCAATAATCGGTCACAAAAGATTGACTATAATGTCATTTTGATTTTTTTTAAATAGTGGGTTAGTTTCCAAAGCAACTATTATTATGAAATACGTAACATTATGAACATGTACGTTTTTATAATAATATTATTGTTTTACCTTTTTAATATTCAAACATGCACCATTAATATTTTACAGTAAGATCAAAGACGTATTAAAAAAGAGTAAAAAAATAGTTTAAAAACATCTTAGAGTAAGATGTGTTTTATTGCTACAGTTAATTGTAAATCTCGTTTTATATAAGTAAGATTATTGTCTACAGGCAACACTTCAAAATTATTTATTACTACTACTATACCATTTTAAACATAAAAATTCCTAAAAATTATATTTATTTCTCCACTTAAGGTGGAAGCTCCAGGGTGGCCCGCGAAATTCAAATTTTCTTGCGTTTTTTGGAATTTGAGTTTTTCAAAAACTCTTTCAAAGAGCTAATATGAACTTAAATGGTTGTATTGGTGATTTTAATGATAATAATTCTGTAAACACATAATCGCTACGGTCGCGAATCATATTTTGTTAAATATACAATCTAACCCTGACCTGCAAATTCCAATAAACGCAAAAAAATTTGAATTTCGCGGGCCACCCTGGAGCTTCCACCTTAATAAAAGTCTTAGTATACTGATGATCCTGTTTAATGTTTTTGACTTATCCCAGCACTGAACAAAATAGAATTTAGCTTTCCCTTTAATAAAAATTGCCAGTTGAAAAGCTGAACGCTCCTTTTTTTTGCGTTTCCTTATTTGGATTAAAAGTAGCTTATGGGATGCAAAATTATTAAGCCACGTCTCCACCAAAGTTTTGTTGCCAACACAATAGTTTGAAACAAAACTTGATACAATGTCGGGAACCGTGTTTCCATTTTCGGCGGCAACATCAAAGGAATACGCTTGTTGCAAACATTTGTTCCCTCGGTGGAGACGCTTGTTGGAAACATAACTGTTGTCAACATAACTGTTGTCAACATTTTTGGTGGATACACGGCATTACTCTACTAAATTTTTCTTTTGCTGTCAAATGTAGCGGGGGGAATATTAAAAATCTTACGTGAGATAATAGATTATAAACAAATAAAACAATATTTATATGTAACCTAATTGATAATACTATTTTATTATTGTGAAGATGAGCTACCAATAATTGTTAATGATGTAGAAACTTCGATGTGTTAATGTGGTAGAAAATTTTTCTTAATTATGTACTTCTGTAACTACCTACTTTATTTAAAAAAATAAGTTCAATTTTAAAAGCTTATTTAACTTGCACTGTGTACTGTATGTTTGTTAAGGTCAAATTGTGCACCTAAACTTTAAAGCAGTTATCTTCAACTTATTGAGCTGAAATTTTTAACTTTAATAATTAATAAAGGTTTTGAAAAATTCTAACGTCTTAAGATTGGGGAGGGGAGAGTTCTCAATTTTTTATTTTTGCTTATACAAGTGGGCAAGGGGGTTAAAAAATAAAAATCTTAAAAAGGTTGCTTCCGTAAAATTCGGACGCCCCCTATAATGTTTAAAAGTAGCCAGTTAATGGGAATTAATTATAGTTATTATTTCTATACCGACAAATAGTACATGTTCAATCGTGGACTTGTGAAGGGCTGTAATAATAATGACAATGATGATAAACACTGTTGAACATCTTCAGGCGTAGTTTCTTCAACAATTACCAGCATTAATGTGACATGAACGTTACATCCATGTCACATTAATGCTAATTTTCGAGTATAGTGACAAGGTTCAGGTGTACCTAAGAAAACTTAAGGCACATTGGCACAGCCATAGACTACATGTTTTATTTAGAGTATTTATTTACTATCACAATTCAGCTGAGATGCTGTTTCTTTCTATAAAACTGCCACATCTATTTTTAGCTATAATTACAAGATAGGCAGAGAAAATATTTTACATTAGTCTGCTTGCTAATTTTTCCTGCATTTTTAAACAAATTACCTATATGTTTAACTCGATTTCATGAGCATGTATGCATAGGCATATAGATGTGGAAGAGGCGAGAGCCCTCTGGGTGACAGATGTGTTCATGTATTTTTACATATATATTTTTATAGGATAAGGGTGTCAGGTAAGTAGTGTATCATTTTTAGACGTAAAACATATTTCTTGGTCTTAGCTTTGTTCATCTTTCTTGAATTAAAGCCAGTACATTTGTAAACTATGTTACTTCCACACAAGGCCGTAGTTGGTCACATCCGGGTATGAGTGTTAGTGTTGTAGTGTAGCTATCACTAGATGGGTGTCATCTTACACTTTTTAGTAAGAGTAATAAAAAACAATTCATATTTTTAATCTTTTTTATTAAACTTATCACTTCCTTTGCACATTCTGTGGACGAGCCATGTCCCTAGGGAAATTACTCTTGGGTGGTGTGCGTATACGCCTATCTTTCTTGGACCTGTTGCGCACTACTTTACTGTGGATCGCACATGACACACAGTAGTGCAGCTTAGCGTACAACTTGGGTAGCTGGAATGCTGAAAAAAAATCATTGGTTAAATGATAGGAAACATCACAACGTTACAGGTAATTATTACATCCAGCTTCACTCTCGAAAACCATAGTGCCTTTCCAACTTGTTACAAAAATTAAGAGGTCTATCTATGCTCAGCAATAGGACATATATTATGCTACCCATTTTAAACCGCTTATCCATTTTCAACACATATCAAAAGGTTAAATGTGAAGTGCCACGTTAGAAAAACCACATTAATTGTTGGTTTGTGACAAACAAAAACACAGTGAAGCTAATCATCAATCAGATGTCACCCTAGACAACATAATGTATCTTTTCCAGTAGCAGTTGTCTGGTAGTCCCTGATAATCATCTTTTGTCTGATAGTTGTGAAAGCTGGTTATTATATTATTGGTCTAGGGTCCCAGTCAGATCTTTAGTTATCAAGTTATGATTACCCCTTTATCACTGATACTGCTCTAAGCTTACCACAGATCAATCTCGGAGGCATTGCATTAGAAATACGTAAGCTATGGGACAACAAAGATAATTTAAACGATGAGTTGTGCAGGTATTCCGCCTTTGATCTTATTTCTCTAAATAATATTTACAGCATTAATACGTTGGTGGTGAGAGCAGTCGCGGAGCTGATTTTATACACTAATATATAAATATCACGACTGATTAAATTAAATTTACTTACAAGTATACACGGAGGCTTCATTGATATCTCTGACAGCAGCCGCCTCAACAATGTTCCTAATCACGAATTTCTTGATGGCTTTGTCTTTTGGCACGCACCGGGCGCAGTTAGTACACCTTACAGCTTTTACATGACCACGGCCGTGTTTGGCGCGTCCTCCGTTGCGGCGTTTGCGAGTCTGTAACCAAAATCCAATAATGAAGCCACATGTTCATGTGCAGTCTCAATTAAAGATCACGCTTAAAAATACATAAAACTTGCAAAAAATATATTTATTTTTTGAAATTAATACGCTATAACGGATGTAAGTAGTTTGTAGATTTTTTAAATCATTATTTATTACTTTTTAGTTATAAATTTAACGCACCATTTTTCTAACCTCCGACACAGTAAACGAAGAACGACGGAAAAGAATGAATGAGTAGAGACAATTCAGAATGAATAACTGAATGAAAACTGATTTCCGTCCGACTTACGAATAACTCGAAAACTTCATTCACCAGGTTTCCCAACTTCCCCATTCCCCCTAAATTCAGGAGGTAAATAAGTGAGATGGGATTTTTTTAGGGGCTTTATATTTTTAAGGGTATTTTTAGGGACTTTTATATCTTTTTCCACTTAAGCTGATTTTGTTTAGAAGTTTACGATGATAAGTAAGCCTTTTGAAAATGTCTCAAAATTCGGGTTGTATTTTTTGCATTAATTACCACGGTTACAATATATTGTTATCTATTGAAATGTTACACATACATATCTGATACACATTGCAACTAAATAGCGTATCACTTATAACATTTAATCCATTAAATAAAATGTATATTTATTTAATATCCAAATCTTTCTTCAAATGTCGGAGCCATTTGAAGAAAGAGAAATAATGTTTGAAGTATTAAATAAGTTATATATTAGGTCTTTACGTACGCTTTGAGCAGTTTTTTATGAAATAAATTAACGTAATTTGTTTTCTATAATTTTTATTTTTATTAATCAAAGGAATAACTCATGCAATCGATGCATCTTTGCCAACGTAGTGGCAGTTTATTGATGAGCTTCTGGAATAAATCAGCTGGACGGAAGGCAACAAAATCTTAAAAAGCATTTAGAATTTTTTTCCCGCCAAAAGGTTATCCAAATTCTGGAAAAATAGACTTCTCTATAGAGCTCCCAACCCCAGCTCTTATAACATTTTTCTTTTAAAAAACGTTAGCCCTACACTAGGATTTTCTCCTGTATCGCAGAGGCAGTTTACAAACACAAATTGCAAAAGAACAAACATCCAGACCCGGAACTATTATTTGTAAGTCATACATATACTTGTTCCGTGCGGGATTCGAAGCCGCGGCCCCCAGCGCATCAACTCATTGCTAAGCCACTGCGCCACGGAGCCGTCAACAACTTGGGGACCGCCTGTTGTTC